CAAGAAATGCAGTTTACCAGGGTGTGGTTAGGCATGAAAACTAGCAACTTTTCTAGAAGGTTGGCATGATTTGGGGTAGAGGATGAAAACTCACAGCTTTGCCACCTAAAACTGGCAAACGTGGTTGGGAATGAACGGATAGAATCAACAGCTTTGCTAACTTGAGATGGTTGTGCCTGTTAGGGTGAGTGATGGATCTGCTGGAAACTTAATGGTAAGATCTTGAAAATAAGAGCTAAAGAAGAGCTAAAATAAGCTCTCAGTGTATCCCTGGCTGGGGAATGAGAAACTACCTGCATGTGCAAAAAGATACCTAAGAGAGCCTGGTAAAAGCTAAAAATCAAAGGAGAGCTGAGAAGTGGCTGCAACTTTGAATGCATTCCCCGAGGAACACACAGATGGGTTGACAGAGGGTGAAGCTTTATAGACATAATGTGTTTGAGTGACCTCTGCTTAAATCATTGGCTGATTGCTAAACTATGCAGATATAGGAATGACACCTAGGAAGCCAGGCTAAAATAAAAACAAGAATTAAAAACAAAAACTGAGCAGAGGTGTCAGTGGCAACATACTGTGGAGGGATTCTAATTCTTCAGTTGAAGTAGAGAGGAGTTACTAAAAATAACAGCCCATCAGAAAAATAAAATAGAATCCCCAACTGTTACAATAGATGACCTAAAATTTCTAGTTTCCAACCAGATGTTAGGAAACATGTGAAAAAAGAATCAGTAAAGTGTGACCCATACTCAGGGGAAAAAAGTATTCAATAAAAATGATTCTGAGAAGATTCAACTGTCAGATTTAGCAAGACCAATGCTGCTGTTAAAAATACACTTAAAAATGTAAAGGAATGTATGTTCAAAGATAAGAAGGAAAATGAGGTGACAATTACCCAACAAATGGCTTTAACCACTTTTAACTCAACATTGTACTGCGTGTCCTAGCCAATGTAATAATGCAAGAAAAAGAAATTAAAGGGATACATATTGGAGATGAAGAAGCAAAACTGCCTTTACTCACAGATGATAGAATCATGTACCCAGAAAATTCCAAGGAATCTATTCATTAAGTGAATTTAGAAAGGCTACAGGATATAAGACCAATATACAAAAATAAATTGTGTATATATTAGCAATGAATAATTGGGAATTAAAGTTTTAAAAAATGTATAGCATCCAAAAACATGAAGTTCTTAGGAATGAATTTAACAAAATATGTGCATGAGCTATATACCAAAAACTACAAAACATTGCTGAGAGAAATTAAGTAAATGAGAGATAATACCATTGTAATAGTGTTCCCTCCAAAATCATGTCTTCCTGGAACCTCAGGATTTGCCCTTATTTGGTAGTATCTTTGTAGATGAAGTTAGTTAGAGATCTTGAGATGAATATCATTCTTTATTTAGGGTAGACCCTAAATCCAAGGACTGATAGCTTTACGTGAGGAAGGAAAGGGAGATTTGGACCCACAGAGACACAAGGAAGACAGCCATGTGAAGATGAAGATACAGATTGGAATTGGGTTGCCACAAATCAAGAAATGCTAAGAGCCTCTGGGAGTTGGAAGAGGTAAAGAAGGTTGTCCCCAAAGGCCTTCAGAGGGACTGTGGCCCTGCCTTGATTTCATACATTCAGCTTCTAGAACCATGAGTGAGGGAGTTTCTGTTGTTTTAAGCCATAATGTTTGTGGGCAAACATTTTGATAGCCCTAGGAAACTGTTACAGTCATATTCAGGGATTGGGACTTAGAATGGCAAACTAATCTTGAAATGAACAACAAAGTTGAAGAACTTAAGCTCTCTAACTTTAAGACTTACTATAGAGCTGCAGTAATCAAAGCAGTGGTACTGGTGTAAAGATAGATGAAATCAGTGAAGCAGAATAGAGTCCAGAAATAGACCCATACAAATATGGTTAATTAATGTGCCAAGGCAAATTGATGGGGAAAGGATAATCTCTTCAATAAATGAATACTGAAACAATTGGATAGTGATATGAAAAAACAGGAACATTGACCCTTATACTATACAGAAAAATTAGCTTAAAATGGATCATAGACCTAAATTTAAGAGCTAAAATTATAAAACTTGTAAAAGAAAACACAGAAGAGCCTTTTTGTGATCTTGTCACTAAATATGCAAACTAAATAATATCACTAAAAGCATGAATTATAAAAGAAAAAAATGATGAATTAGAATTAAAATTTATAAACTTTTGTTATTTAAAAGACATCACTAAGGAAAATGAAAAGGCAAACTACATACATATTTGCAAATTAAATACCTAACAAATATTTGTGTCTAGAATATATAGAGAACTCTTGTAACTTAATTAAAAAACTAATAAAGCAGAGGATTTGAACAGATAGTCCATTGAATAATTTATACAGTAGATGTCCAGTAGGTGCATGAAAAGATACCATCCCTAATCATTAGGAAAAATGCAAATTAAAGCCACAATAAGAGGCCATTACATACTTTGATAATGACTGAACTTAAAAAGACTTCCCAAACCAATTTCTGGCAAGACTGTAGAACAACTGGAATACTCATACTGGTGGTGGGACTATATAATCGCACAACAGTTTTGGAAAGTAATTTGGCAGTTTTTTTAAAAAGTTAGAGGCATATCTTCCATATGACCAGGTGTTCTACCCGTAGATATTTACACAAGAGAAATGAAAGGATATGTTTGTATAAAGACTTGTAGAGGAATATTTATATCAGCTCGATTTGTAATAGGCAAAAACTGGAATCAACCCAAATGTCCAGCTGTTGGTGAATGAATAAACAAATTGTGGTATACTCACATAACAGAATGGTACTCAGCAATCATGAGGGAACAATTATTGATAAAGACAGCAACATGAACAAACAAGATAATATTGCTGAGTGGAAGAAGCTGACAAAAAGAGTACATACAATGTGATTCTGTTTATATGAAACTCTAGAAGATGCAAACTAACCTATAGTGCCTGGAAGCAGAGCAGTGATTGTTTGATTGTTTGGGGCTGGGAATTTGGAGAAGGGATTACGAAGGAGGATGAAGAATCTTTGGAAATGATGGATATGTTCATTATCTTGATTGTGGCGATGGTTTCATAGCTATATATGTGTGGTAAAATTTGTCAAATTGCACACTTTAAATATGTTCAGTTTATTGTATGCCAGCTATGCCTTTAATAAAATTGTAAAAAAAAAAGTGGACAAAGATTTGAATAAACTTCATCAAAGAAAATATATGGCTGGCTAATATGCACAAGAAAAGATACTCAATCTCAGTCATCCAAAAAATGCAAATTAAATCACAGGAGATACCATTAGATGATTAAAAAAAAAAACCAAAAAACCAAGAATGACAAAAAATAAAAAGACCCAAGAATACCAAGTACTGGTGAAGTTATGGAGCAGCTGGAACTCTCATGCATTGCTGGTAGAAAGGCAGGATGGCATTTAGATAACAGTTCAGTTTCTTATAAAGTTAAACATATACTTACATGTAACCAGCAATAAATACTTTTGAATATTTACCCCGAATAAGTTAATAACACACACTTACAAAGCCTTAGATTTCAAACATTTATAGCAGATTTATTTATAGGAGCTGAGAACTGAAAACTTCAATATCAATAGATGAATAAACTGTGATCTATCTCTAGAATGGTATACTGCTCAGTAATAACAAGGAATGAACTCTGAGACACAATAACATGGATGAATCTTAAAACATTAGGTTGAATGAAAGCAGCCAGAAAAAAATAGCATGCATATGATTAATTTTATATGAGATACCAGAAAATTCAAACTAATGGGAACAGAAAACAAATGTGATTGCATGAGCCCGAGGGTGGAGGCAGAAACTTACTGCAAAGGGGAATGAGCCAACTTCTGGGGCCAATCTGAATGGCTTCTCTCTTGATTGTGGTTACTTGGGCATATGCCCTTGTCAAAACTGAAAGACCTATACACTTCAAGTATGTGTGGTTTATTTTGTGTAAATTACACTTCAATTAAGTTGATTAAAAAAAATCTGTACCACCAGCTTTGTAGCCACCCACCGTTTCTCATTTGGGATGGATGCAGCACCCTCCTAAGTGGTGGTCCTGCTATTGTCTTAGTTCTTTAGACTCCTACATGATGCAGCAACCTGAACGGTCCCCTTAGAACAGTATCCTGAGTTTGTCACTTTCCTGTAATACACGTTCCCATAATTGCTCACCATTACCTAGCACCTTAGAGTAGCATAGGTCTTCTTTAGGCTGACCCTTGACTGTCCAACTCATCCATTACTTCAGCCTCCCACTTTGCTTTTGACTCTCAGTTCCCAGCACAGGCCATGTTAATCTCATTTCCTGTACTGTATACTCATCTCTCCCCCCTCAGCCTTTTGTTTAGTAAACAGTGGTTTATCTTTTTAAACTCAGCTTAGAATTCTAGGAAATGCCTTTATTTATTTATTTATTTATTTATTTTTATTTATTTATTTATTTTTTATTTATTGAAAGCATCCTTCTTCACACTGTCCGTCTCCAAGATTGGAATTAAGTACTCTTCAGATGGTGCTTTTTTGGTTCATTGTAACTTTTATAGGTGTTTTTATCCTTGTGGCTTATGTTTTTTATTCTTTCTCTAACTAGATTGGGCATTCATTGAGTGCAGCTATTATATTTTATTTACCTTTTGGATCCACAAGGTCTGATCCATAATAAGTGCTTAATAAGTATTTGTAGGAAGATTGAATATGAATGTTGAGAAAAGTATACATAGAATGATTACTACTACTTTGTTTCAAACAAACCTCTTTGCATAGAGAATAAGACTGGGAAGATTTATAACAACATTTTAACACCAGTTTGAGTGGTGAGATTAGTTCCTTTAATATTTTTGACAGTTTTGCATTTTTCATAAAAACACAGTGTGTAATTATTTTATGAGAAATAACCTAAAAAATTGGCAGTATAACTTTTGCCTATTCAAATGAATTTTTGCATTTCTTTAGGTTCACAAGGCAGTTATAATTTCCAGTCCCTTAACCACAGTCCTGACTGCGGAGATTCCTGGTTGGTCAAAGAATGAATCAGCCCAACCTGAGACATCAGAGTATCCTGGTACTACACCTAGCACTCAGCAAGTAAAAAGTCTTGGGAAAATCCAGAATGCTACCCTTCTCCCCGTGGCTCCCTCCTACAGTTACACCACCCCTGACCCTCAGGCCTCTTTCCAGAGCACCTCAACACCATACCCAGGTGAGGCCCTTTGCTTCTGCCCTTGGAGATAGGATAGAAAAGGAGAGCATTTTATCACAGTGTTCTCCTTAGTGCAAGGAACAGAGAGAGGCATGACTTTTGAGTACTGTAGGTTAGAGAAAAAATAATCCTATCTTTTTTCCTATAACCACAGGACTTGGGGCTCTCCATTCTTTTCTCAACAGGCCCCAGAATATGGGAATTTACGAGGTTCATTTTCCCAGAGCCAGATTCCACTGTGCCTGGGACTTAAAAGGCAGGAGATTCAATTAAGTAAAGTTCGAGGAATGAAACAAACAGAAGCCACAGGGAAAAAAGTTGGATTTTTGTACGTATTTGCCTTCTGAATGACTGATTGTAGGTCAGATATTTGTCTCTCTGATTTTTGGCATCATCTTTATTTTTAAAGCAGCCCATCCATAGGAAGGAGATTTATTTATTTATTTTTAATTTTTATTTATTTATGATAGTCACAGAGAGAGAGAGAGAGAGAGAGAGAGAGAGGCAGAGACACAGGCAGAGGGAGAAGCAGGCTCCATGCACCGGGAGCCCGACGTGGGATTCGATCCCAGGTCTCCAGGATCGCGCCCTGGGCCAAAGGCAGGCGCCAAACCGCTGCGCCACCCAGGGATCCCTTTTTTTTTTTTTTTTAATTTTATTTAAGGAAGGAGATTTATAAAGAGTATTGCCTTAACAACAAATCTGTGCTTCGTGAGTGCTAGTCTAAGGTATTAGGAGGAAATGGTTAATCAAGGAAACTAACTTGATCTCTATCCCCTGAAAAAGGCAACAGGGTGAAGCAAAACAAGTGAAAAGGAATTTTTCTGATTTTTGATTTCCTAGGGTTTTCTTTCATGGTAGTATAACATGAAATTTTGGGGTTTCAATCCTGAGGCACTAAAGTAATTTTTGTGTTCAGGCTGAATGCCTATAATTTTTGGTGTAATTGTGAAGGGTTTGAGTAACACTCTATTTTTGTCCATTATACTCTTTCTGAGTATAGTGATTTATCTTTCCTTTCTTTTTTTTTTTTTTCATTGAAAGTCACTTCAGAAAATTCTTATTCAACCTCAGGGTGTCTAAGTGCTGAAGTTTCTTTCCATAAGGAAGATTTCATTTCTTCCTAAGTGTAGTACCAATAGATCTTAAATTTCATGTTTGTCAAGAGGTCCTTATTACCCCCCACTCTTGAAATATGGGCTGACCAGTCATTTGTTTGCTTTAAGCTCCTTAATTCCTGGGTCTCATACCAAATAACGATTTATTGTCAGAGGAATAAGATTTATATAACAGTGGTTCTCAACAACTTGCAAGCATTTTTGGTAGTTACAGTTATGGAGGAGGGGTGCTACTGACACCTTGTGGATGGAGGCCTGGGATATGGCCAGCTGTCTTATGTGGTGCACAGGACAGTTTCCCCCACCCCCTACAACAAAGAATTATCTGATCCAAAATGTCAGTAGTGCCAAGGTTGAGAAACCCAGACATGTATGAAATAGCTATTGAATAGTGTGAAGACCGTATATAGCTATTAGCTGATGTGGGTATTCCAAAAAAGCTAAAGTCATTCAGGAAGTAAATAAGTTTGAACTGAAATGGTCTGGGAAGATTTCTTGGAGAGGACTGGCTATGCCAAAACAAAGTACTGATTTAGAATAAAGAAAGCATACACTCCAGTTGAAGGAAATAGCATTAGCAGAGTCCCCAAGAGTAGACTATGTCTTCTGTGGAACACAAGAGGGAAAATGAATATAACTAGAGGCAGAATTGAACAGAAAGGATAAGGTGGTGTGATCAGATGATAATGGTTCTCTAATACCAGCATAGGGGTTGGCCTTGAACATGGGTGGGAGTGGGGAGTCTTAAGTAGGAGAATAACATGGTGGGGGAAGTATTTTAGAAAAACTAATGGTGGTGAGTGTTAGAATAATACGGTGTCATGATAACCTGAGAATTATAATAACGAAGAAGTCAGCAGTATTAGATTAGATGCTATGGGAGTAATGGATGTGGGTTGAGAAACAGTTACTGGATTTGCTAAGGAGCAATTTGTGGATGACCTCACAAGATCTTTTTCAGTGGCAAAGTGAAAGCCAAATCAAATTTCAGAGGATTAGAGAATAGATAAATAAGGAGGAAATAAAGGCAGTAGCTGAATATTGTTTGTAAAAGAAATTTGTCCCCAAAAGGAAGAGGAATGAGGTAGTCTGGATCTAATTTCTTATCTCTTGTATATTTTCTTTGTTTCTAGTTATAAAGGAATTGGTGGTATCTGCTGGAAAGAGTGTCCAGATCACCTTGCCTAAGAATGAAGTTCAGTTAAATGCATACGTTCTCCAAGAACCACTTGAAGGTAAAACATCCCCTTACATTTGGATATTGTTTTAATTTATGATATTTACATACCTTAATTCATTTACTAATTGCAACAGCCCCGTGAGAACAGGTATAGTATGCACATACAGAAATATTTCCCTGATGCAAGAGCAGTATAATGTTTGAGATCATGGGCTTTGACACCAAAGCCTGGGTTCAAATCCTGGCATAGCTAATCATTGGCTGAATGATTTTAAGCAAATTGTTTTTACATTTCCATTTCTTTTTCAGTAAAATGAGGGTAGTAATTTCTACTTCATAAGGTTACTTTAAGGGCAAAATGAAATGATATATAAGAGACCTACTTCAGTGCCTAGGAAATAACTGATACTCATTAAATGGAGGTTGTATTCTACCCCTTTAAGAGAGGAAGAAACCGATACTGAGGCCAGCCTATTTATTTTGTCCAAACAACTAGTATTAGCAGCTATAGAACTCATAGAGGAGTTATTTAAGACTATAGTTAATGTAGATTTGGCATTTAAAAAATAAATAAAAAGGAAGACAGGGCACCTGGGTTACTCAGTTGGTTAAGTGTCTGACTCTTGATATCTGCTGAGGTCGTGATCTCAGGGTTGTGAAATTGAGCACCTGCATCAAGCTCCTTGCCCAGTGCAGTCTGCTTGTCCCTTTCCCTTCCCCAGCTTGCCCTCTCGTGTGTTGTCTCTCTCTGTCTCTCTTTCAAATAAATAAAATCTCTCTCTAAAAAAAAAAAAAAAAAGAGGACAAGCCCAATATGATAATAAAATTCAGATTTATGAACTATATAAATTAAGGGACAATGCATTCATTATTTAAGCAAACTTTTATAATATGAGCATCCCTTTCACCTTTTTTTTTTTTTAAGATTTTATTTATTTATTCACGAGAGACAGAGAGTGAGAGAAAGGCAGAGACACAGGCAGAGGGAGAAGCAGGCTCCACGCAGGGAGTCCGATGTGGGACTTCATCCCAGGTCTCCATGATCATGGCCTGGGCTAAAGGCAGGTGCTCAACTGCTGAGCCACCCAGGCGTCCCTCCCTTTCACCTTTGAAGTACATATTAATATACCAAAATTTAGCATAGAAACACATAAGCACTTAAGATTTTCTATGACAATAATGAAGCATACTTTGATGGAAAATGGTTGCCTTGAGTTTATGCTACTCTTATTACAGGGTTAGTCAAGTAAAATGCTGTACTCTAGGATTCAGGATGATGGAGTCCTTCATTTTAGGTACACACCTGTCCTATACATTAGTCCGGCTTTCTAATAGGCCTCATACCAAATAGTGTATTTATGCAAAAGTACTTTTCCAGAACCTAAGCGCCCTCCCTGTTGTATATTTCTGCCCTCAAAAATAAGGTTTCCTTATCAGTTCATTCTACCTTCCTCCAGACAAACTTTTATTTTTTTAAAGATTCTATCTATCTATCTATCTATCTATCTATCTATCTATCATCTATCTATCTATCTATCTATGAGAGGTAAGTGCAAGTGAGAGAAAGCACAAGCAGGGAGAACAGCAGAGGGAGAGGGAGAAGCAGTCTCCCTTCTTGATCCCAGGACCTTGGGATCATGACCTGAGCCAAAGGCAGATGCTTAACCTGCTGAGCTACCTGAGTGCCCCTACCTTCCTCCAGAGAAGCTTTAGCCTTCCGCTCCCCTGGTGGTAAGTTACAGTGAATGAACTTGGTGGCCTCTGAAGATGGAGGTGAGAACTGCTTTGAGCTGCACTTGCCTCCACTGTTTTGTGAAAGGAGCTGGGCTCTGCGTTAGGTTCTTGTCTAACCCCTATTTGCATATACAGCCTGTGAGTTGCTGTCACCTTGTAGATCAGTATTCTAAAACACCTGGGTTGATTGTTTTCAACTTTCCTTTCCATGGGTTCAGCATTTATCAGATACATGAGATGGATAGTTTCAAACTTTCAAAGGTTGGGGACAAGTGAACAGGACCAGCTCTGCATACTCTTCCTCCCCATCATCTCCTGTGGCAGCCCCTGAAGCACTTCTTAGGATCCCTCTAAGGTTCAGAGGCATGGTTTGAAAACCACTGCCGTAAATCATTTAAACCAACATTCTGTCTAGCAGAACCTATCCTCAGTTGTTCCTACCCTTGGGCGAGTTCCTGGCTGTGAGGCATAATTCATCCCCCAAGCTTTTCTGTCCTAGGAATATTGTCCTTCTTGAAATTGCATTGCCAGCCTTAGATATTATAAAATTGTCAGTTCCCAAATTAGCGTGAGTCTGTTTTATGTGTGGAAAAATAATTTCCAACTCTAGCTGGAAGAAAGGTCGTCTCAGCACCAGTCCCACTGCTGCTGCTGCCTTCCTGCTTCTCACCTAACCTGACGTCTACATAATACATTTGTGAGAGCTGCCTGGGGCTGACAGCTGCCCAACACAAAACTAGTATTTGGGGAGGAAGGAAGAGTAATAGATCTTGTATCTCAGGCTTATAAAATGAAATCTAGTCTTCAGATGAAGGCCGTCGTGGAATTTGGGACTGTATGCTAACTTACTTTTGAACTCATGAACTAAGAAAAAGACCATTCTGTTATGCTTTTGAGGTTTCTTCTTTTTTCCTTTTATTTTTACTTTTGGATAGTGACATAAACTAAGCCTTCCTACCAAATCTCATCGGTCCCTAGTCAGAAGTGAATTTCATTCCCCCACCACCAAATTTAAGACTGCTTTCCCGGGGTCGGGATTCCATTTAGATAACAGGATCCTGACCTTGCCCTACCCAGTCATAGCATCTGAGTTACAAATGAGGACCATTTAATACTTCATTTGATCTTAATTAATTTCAGTGGGGCCCGTTTTAAATGGGCCATCCCCTGCCATCTTCTGCAGTGTGTTATTTAGCTCAGCAGGAACGAAGTAGCTCTTTTAACTCACCAGGGTGTGATGACCTCAGTGAGACAAGCATTGTTAGCACTCTAAAAAAGCTATTTTTGAACCATGTTATTTAGAAGTCATTGCTGTTCTTTGTTGCAAAAGAAGTTTTGCAGGAAAATGGCCCTTGTTCCCAGTGAGTTCATCCATAGTGGTTGGTAGGGCATGTATTTTCACTGTGATGCCACACCATGAGCAACGTGGTATTTTGAGGGAGGATTGGTCTCTCTCAAGGGGAGGGCGGGTATGGGAAGGGAGAGAGCGCGCTGCTGGGAGAGAGTGGAGGAAGCCTGACTGTAGCTGAGTCAGCAGATTCCTCCCTTTCAACAAAACATTCAGTCTCCCTGTAGGCTTTGGGGTGGAATCTTAAAAACTAAGGCCTTGTCAAGATTTAGGAGAGATTTGTTATTGGCAGGATGTGTGGCTGCCCTCTTTGTGTGTAGGTGTGTGTTTTCATGATTTTTGTAACTGCCCTTCTATAGGAGAAACCTACACCTACGACTGGCAGCTGATTACTCATCCTAAAGACTACAGTGGAGAGATGGAAGGGAAACATTTCCAGATCCTCAAACTATCCAAGGTGAATTTGCCTCCTCTCACTTGCAGGGCTGGGTGCTGACCATTTTCTAAAATGTAGAATGTAGAATTTTCTGTTCATACTTAAATCAGGAACAATCTTTCAGAAGTGATTCCTCCAAAAGTCTGGCTGACATCCAGTATTTGTTAGTGTATGATTCTCAAATGTTCATTTATGGTGAGAAGACTGTATAAGCATGGTGGTGATAGCTGAAAATACACACTAAACAGCTTTTAAGGGTAACATAAGGATTTTAGAATTTGGGAGATAAGCTAAGTTTTTTGTGGCCACAAGACTGTAAATTGGCTCAGTCTTTTTTGGGATACAGTGTAGTTATTAAGAACCATAAAAATGTTCAAATTCTTTGGCCAGGCAATCTCATTCATTTATTCATTCTTTTTTTCTTTAACAACTATTCATTGTACACTCGTTATGTGTCAGCCAGTGGGGATTTACCAGTGAATTGATCAAAATCTTCACATTCAAGGACAATAGAGTCTCACTGGTGGCAGTTATAACAGGGGATGCACTAGGTCAGTGCAGGGGGTATTGAAGCCCTGGGGAGTTTGATTTCTTTGAGTTTACTTGGGTGGGTCATGACAGGTGACTCACTTTCTGGGTAAAGGGTAGGGTGCTGATAACCTATGCAGGGGAAGCAATATGTTCACTGGGCCAAATATTAGAAAATGTGACTAAAAGGGAATTCTGTATGGTTCAGCATGACTGGACCCTCTGGCATGAGAAGAGCAGTGGCACAAAGTTGGAGAGATGCATGGGTCGTATTACAAAGAGCCTTATGCTAGAGCAAGGACTTTGAATCTTATCCATAGGGATTATGGAACCTTTGAAAGTTTGTTTTTGTTTTTGTTTTTGTTTTGGAACCTTTGAAAGGTTTTAGACAACAGAAAGACTTATTCAGATTTTCAATTTAGAAAGATCACTCTGACTGCAAATTGAGTGAGGTAAGACTCAAACTAGGGAAATCATTGGAGACTGTCAAAAAATGTAAGCGTGAGATAGTAATAACCTGATTGAAAAAACAAAGTAAAACTTAAAAAGACTGCTGTTGAGCTCATAATATGTGCCAGACACAGTGCTAATTGTTTTATGCACTTACTTCATTTTATCTTTGTAATGACCCCAAGATGTGGATATTAATATCTGTTTTATAAATGGCAAAACTAAAAATGTGAAAAATAAAGTAGTTTAGCCAAGTTTCACAAAGCTATTAAATGAGAGATTTGATCTGGAACTTTCCATCCCTAAAGCTCTGGCTTTTAACAACTGTGCTGTGATGGTTGAAATCTAAGGTGATAGCATTGTGAATGGAGAGAAGTGAGTGGATGTGAGAAATATTTATGAAGGTCGACTCTAGAAGACCTGGTGATGGATCAGTTGGGTGGCGATGTTGAGGAAGGGAAGTCCAGGATAACTCTGGCCTTTTGGCTTAGGCACCTGGGTAGATATTGGTGCAACAGTGGTGATATTCACTGAAATGAGGAACACAGAAAGAGGAGTAAGTTGGATGAGGTTTGCAAATGATTAAATCATTTTTGGACAGAGTGAGTTTAAGGTACCTGTGAAACATTTGCGTGGAGGTGTCCAGGAAGTAGCTGGGAGTCAGAGACTAGAGATCAAGACACAAGTTGAGGCTAGAGAGAGAAATTTGCACACTAACCTCAAACAGATGACAGTTGGAGCCATGGCAATTGATGAGATCATCCAGAGTGTGTAGAGTGAAGGAAAAAAAAAACAGGTCACAGTTGGAATCCTGGGGAACACAGTCCTTAGAAGTGTGGAAGGAAGAAGAAACTGAAGGAGATGAGGAGTAGGCAGAGAAGTGAAAGCCAAGGAACGAGAGCTTTACAAGAAGAAAACCGTCAGAAACACTAGTCAATTAGCATTTGCTCAAAGAAGAGAATTCAGAAGAAAGGAAAAATCTCATTCATCTGAAAGATACTCATCACAGCATTGGTTATAATAGTAAAAGTCTGGAAACGACCCAAATACCCAACAATGTGGAAAGCTTATGTGATACGATGCATTTACTCATGTACTCTCCTGCAGCCGTGATAATGATCATCAGAAAGACTATTGTAATGGGGAAGGTGTTCATGGTAAATGAATAGAAGAAAGAATAATAAAAAGCTTGATGCAGGTTTTTCTTTCTAATCTGCCATCTGCAGTGGAACCACCGCCAAGGATGCAGATTTTCGTGAAAACCCTTACAGGAACGAGCATCAATCTCGGGGTTGAATCCTCGGATACAATAGAAAACCTAAAGACCAAGATCCGGGATAAGGAAGCAAATCCTCCGATCAACAGAGACAGATCTTCACCAGCAAGCAACTGAGGATGGAATTCAAAAGGAATCCACCCTTCATCTTGTGGTGGTGCTAAGAAGAGGGAAGGAATCTTCCAGCACTCCCAAGATGCATAAGCACAGGAGAAAAATAAGCTGGTTGTCCTGAAATAAAGGACACTCATAATGTGGATGAGAAAATGGCAAAATCAGTCACTGTCATTGGGAGTGCCCTTCACATGAATGTGATGCTGGAGTTTTTATGGCTACCCACTTTGACAAGCATTAGTATGGTAAATGTTGTCTGACCTGTTGCTTCAACAGACCAGAAGACCAGTAATTGTATATGAGTTGATAAAAGACATGAACTAACAACAACAACAAAAAGCTTAATGCACACCTTGTTTTTTTTTTTTTTTTTCACACCTTGGTTTTAATTAGACCTTGGAAGTCCAGGTCCTTGAGGTGGTGATCTCATCTTACTCCTCTCCAAACCCCAAGCCTAGGATGATGTCCAGTACATAATTGGTTCTCAGTGTTTGCTGAACGAATGAACTATTTAAAAACTACTTTTTGTATGTGGTCAAGGATTGGAAGGAAGTAAGAGAAATATGATTAACTGATGTGCTAGGGCAGTGGGATTGTGGGTGATTTTCTTTCCTTTATATTATGTTTATACAGTTGGTGGAAATCAGAAGGGAAAAATATCTAGATATTTGGGAGCTCTTTGGTATTTTTACAAAATGGTTTTCTTTGTAGAGATGATTATTTTAATTTCATAACTCTATGAAATAGGATGGTTGGGCCCTTAATGTTCTTTTGAGAAGAAAATGAGAGTGCAGAGATATTGAATTCCCTTTTGTTGTTCTAGAGTCAGCTAGTAATAAAATTCACATTAAAAGCTATAGATTTTTAGTTTATAATTCATTGTTTCATCTCCTCAGCTAGTTTACTCTCTCCCTTTTGGAAGCTGTGCAAGAAGAGAATGCAGTCTCAGCATGGAAAGTTCAGATATATGTGTTATTTTACATAGAATTGCTGCTCTTTGTGGTTGTCTAAAAGATCTTCTCTCGCTTCTGCAGCTTACCCCTGGCTTATATGAATTCAAAGTGATTGTAGATGGTCAAAATTCCCATGGGGAAGGCTATGTGAACGTCACGGTGAAACCAGGTATGAATTTCCCAGCCCCAGCTGAGTCTCCATTGCTTCTTCTGCAGGATTCCTAAAGAGGGGCAGATTTGACTTGAACGGTTTTTGAGTCCTATTCTTTCTTTTTCTTTTTTTAAAATATATTCACTGAGCAATTCCTAGCTCAATGTAGTGAAAGGTTATCGTGGCAGAGTATATACTTTGGTTCCAGTTGGGACATTTGGCTGGGGGGGGGACGACATTAGTCACATGGCCCCCAGTGCAGTATGGCCTGAGCCCGTAGCCTGTCTGTCTGAGAACTACTTCTCCAAGTAGGTCATGCTGAGAGAGGACCATGTGTTGTGATTAAGGGACACAAGAAAGCCAGGAGCCTGGGAAAAGCATGTAGAAGGAGAACCAGCCAAATGGCTGACTCTTTCTGATCTCTTTCCAGATATGGGTTTTGCACACAGAATTCCTCATTTAATCCCTGCCAGTCTTCTTTCACCTTGGAAATCAAATCCTGTCATTCTTTTTAAGTGATCCACCACTGATAAAATACAGTACAATAGCAAAGTTCCTTGTTTTGCATTTTCAGGGAAGTTTGGGGGAAGTTGGAAAGTGGCACCTACATCAGCACAAAATCTTAATATTTTCTGTTTCTGTTGGTAATAGATTTTCTCTGTGTTCCTTGAACTCTCACCAAGGTAATCCTTTCCCTTCTTAAAAATGTGTTACATAAAGACTTTTTGATTATTTCTCAAAGAAAAGGCCACTGGGTTTGTGGCTCACAGTCATTCGAGTGGACAGAGTGGTCTGTGTGACCCTGCTATCACTCAGGCCGAGTCCCCTCAAACATAAGCTCAGGGATGGTTGAGAAATCACCCATTATGCTTTCACCACAGTCTGTGCCAAGGGATAGTTTGCTTGCCAAGGTCCTTATTGCACAAGGCTCATGTGTTGTCCACCTCTACTCAACTTGTGCCACCTTTTCTTGAACAAGGTAGCACATGAGTGTTGAAAGTATGCAAAGGCATGGTCTTAGGAGTGATCAGGTTTGGAAGAGGCTTTAATGCTTCCACGTGTCTTATGATAGAATGGTAACCTGGTGTGACTTTCCCATTTGGTGATGCACCCATCAGTTATGTTGTGGACTAATTCTAATTCACCCACACAGGCCTGCTCTTCCTATAATATATAAAGCCCATCTTCCAATTTCTTCCGGGTCTTTTTCTTACAGAGCCCCGGAAGAATCGGCCTCCTGTTGCCATTGTGTCACCACAGTTCCAGGAGATCTCTCTGCCAACCACTTCCACAGTCATTGATGGCAGCCGTGAGTACTTATCTAGGCATGATGTTTTAGAAGAACATTCACTGTGAACTGTGCTAGAAAACTCTGGCAGAAGATTTGGGGCCAAGGGCGCCTGGGTGACTCAGTTGGTTAAGTGACCTTAGCTCAGGTCTTGATCTTGGGGTCATAAGTTCAAGCCAGGTGTTGGAGCCTACTTAAAAAAAAAAAAAAGATTTGGAGCCAATTATGTCTGCATTCTGTTTAGGCCCATCTTGACTATGTTCTGGGAAGATTACCCATTTCAAGCAACTAATTAGGACACAAAAACCAGACAGCCCAGACAGCCCCTATTTAAAATCCCTGTGTGGCTTGTTGGAAGTAATACTTCTGCTCTTTTGAGATACAAGAAAATAAGATTATGCAGATATTTAGCATCTTTTTGTATGAAACTTACTAGTTCTCTTTTTTTTTAAGATTCATTCATTCATTCATTCATTCATTCATGAGACACACAGAGAAAGAGAGGCTGAGACACAGGCAGAAGGAGAAGCAGCAGGCTCCCTGCAGGGAGCCCGATTCAGGACTTGTTCCCAGGACCCCAGGGTCACGCCCTGAGCCGAAGGCAGATGCTCAACCACTAAGCCACCCAGGTGCCCCAAAACTTGCTGGTTTTCAAATTTTCTTAGAGTTACCATTCTCAGTTATGGAAACAAAGCTCCTTCCTCTCATAGCAAGATAAGTAACTGAGGGTCTTGGCTGAAGAGCTGTCCCCCAGCGCTCACTGCCTGACAAGCTTCCTGTCAGCCTCCCGGAGAGACTCACAAAACATACTCCACGCCCCGGGCTGGGCTCCTGAACATTCACACATCAGAGTAGTGTCCCCTGTGGGTAACTTCTGGGTCTTTGCCACTGATCCTGGTTGTGCATGCAGGGGGTCTCAGGCCTGTTATCTCATCAGTGTCGGCTTGGTCCCCTTTGGGGGCATATGAAGGCCCTGCTGCCCTGATTGTCTTGCCCCCGACAGTTGTTCTACGGCCGAGGCAGTCACTGCTCCAGCAGAGGAATCTCTAGCAAGGTTAAACATTTCATGTAGATGCGACTGGCAAGAGGAGGAGGGTAGAAGAATCGCAGGCCAAGAGGGAAGAGAGAACAGGAAGAGGCACTTGTGAGAGAGGGTCCCACAGTGCTGTTTTACTTCATAGTTTTGAATGGGTCAGAGTTAAGTCGTGTGTAAAGGTATACAGGGGAGAGCCTCCCTACCATCCCCCTCTCCCAACTGTCCAGTTTTCCTCCAGTCAATGCTACTATTTCACATTTCTTTCTACAGACATTCTATGCACGTGTGAGAAAATACATACAGTCTTTATGATAACACATAGTAGACCCTGTTGTGTGCAGTGCTTGTTTCTTTATATGGAAGAATTTTTCTTTTTCTTTTTTTTTTTTTAAGATTTTATTTATTTATTCATGAGAGACACACAGAGAGAGAGGCAGAGACACAGGCAGAGGGAGAAGCAGGCTCCCTGCAGGGAGCCCGATGCGGGACTCGATCCCGGGTCTCCAGGACCACGCCCCGAGCTGAAGGCAGAGGCTCAACCACTGTGAGCCACCCAGGTGTTCTGAAGAATTTTTCTGAATCAGTACATGAAAGAGTTCTTTTTTTTTTCCTCTTGGTGATCACATAGCCTTCCGTTAAACGGCTGTATAATTCCCTGTATGGCTGTATACCTGCTTTCAGTCAGTCCCTATTGATGACCACTTAGATTATTTTTGGTCTTTTGCTGCTATGGAGAATGTTGCCATGAATAAATGTGTACCTGTGACATTTAACACACGTGCACATCTATCTGTGGGATAAACTCAAAGAGGAGCTACAGGGCGAAGACACATTTTGCTAACTTGCCCTTTGGGAAGGTGTGTGACTGTGCTGCCACCGTGGCTTATGGAAGGGCTCGCTCCACACCTTTACCCATAGAGTGTGTTACGAAACTTGGATCTTACCAATCAGGTAGGTTAAGAAAATAGTATCTGAAGTGTCGTTTAAACTTGCGTTTCTTTTCTTTCTAAGTGAGGTGGAGTGTCTTTTCACGTGTTTAAGAATTTTTGATTTTCCATTTCTCATACAGTAGCATTTTTTTTAAGATCTATTTATTCATGGGAGACACAGAGAGAGAGGCAGAGACACAGGCAGAGGGAGAAGCAGACTCCATGCAGGAAGCCCGATGCGGGACTCGATCCCAGGTCTCCAGGATCACGCACTGGGCTGAAGGCGGCGCTAAACCTCTGAGCCACCCAGAGATCCCCATACAGTAGCATTTTAACCAGAGGTTGCCCGTGTTGGAGTCCTGGGACAACTATGCAGTGGAATATCCATAGAGAAACAGAGTGACCCAATATTCCTAGGGAAGAAAACCTCTGGAGGGGTAGTCATGTCATGAAGTTTTCCTCACTTCATGTCTCTGGGTGGTTGCCCCGGTTTGTGTAAGCCGGGGCGGTGCTGAGACCCAGCGCTCTCGTGTTGTAACTGATGTTTCTTTATGGTCAAGAAAGCACTGATGATGATAAAATCGTCCAGTACCATTGGGAGGAACTTAAGGGACCTCTGAGAGAAGAGAAGATTTCTGAAGACACGGCCATATTAAAACTAAGTAAGCTCGTCCCTGGGAACTACACTTTCAGGTAAATTAAGACCCTTCACCTTTCCTTTAGGCCACGCTTTTCCCTTGGGAGGTTTACATTCTTCTAGGAGTAACTCTGACAGATGCCACGGTCGTTGGAGATTTGGTTGATGATAGGGCCTTGGATTCCATTAGTTCTCTGAGCCCTGTTGGTGGTTGTGGTCACAACAGTGATCAGTTTTTAGGGCAACGGCCGTGGCATAGTGGGTCAGGACCCACCACAGTTAACCCTTCTCAAATCTGCGCCTGCAAAGCTGCACTTGGCAGATCTCCAAAGTTTTTTAGGATTTCTGTCATTAAGTGAAAGGGCCCATCTTCCTGTGCCTTCTCTCAGGAAAAATCTAAAGGAACCTGTTTCCATTTTGCCTCTTTGGTAAATGCTTCCTCAACTTACAAGGTTTCAAAATCTTTACTTTGGACTAGTGGTTTATTCCAGTATGACTTGGGGGATCTTTCTCGGTTGGGTGTTTTAGAGAATTTGACTCAAAGATAGTCCTGGGAACTGGCGTTGGCACTCTGGGATGTGATTAGTGAGAGTGTGAGGCCGGCTCTAGAGTAATCCTGTTTGGGCTTGCAGCGTTCCTGGTATGTCACAGAGGATTTGTATGTGAGTGTCAATCTCACAAACACCAGGTGTTCATGATACTAAACTTCTTTTATATCCGAGGAAAATGAGGCTCAGTTGTATTTACTAGCTTCTCTGAGGTCACAGATTTCAGCTAGAACAGAAGTACAGCTTCTCTAACCCTCAAGCTGGGCTCGTTCTGTTCCACCCCTTGACCCAAGCTGTACGTACTTTGTTAATGCTTTCTTGAGTGCTCTTCTCAGTCCATTGGCGTTCTGCGCATCCTTAAGGGCTGCCTCAGTTTCCTGTGAGGCGCAGTAGAGGCTCCTGAGGTTCCTCTGGGAAGAGGGACTCTGTCTCTCCCGGGACCATCGCACCCGGGGCCCCTGCGTGGCACCTCCCATGGTGCAGCGGTTTATTCGTGGGTGTCTGTCTTCCCCATTAGATCCGCAGTTAATCAAGTTTTGGCACTACCAGAGACACAGTGACAAATGTCCTAGCACAGCACCTGCCGTGTAAATAAATACGACTTAGTAGCACTCTAACTCACGACTTCAGATGAATGAAAGGCAGCTGCCGTTCCCGAGGATAGAGCCTTCTCATTGGCTTAAAATGGAAATGTGAGTGGGTTTTTACCTTAGCTTTCTAACATAGGAGTTGTGGTATTTATGAAATCTACCTTGGGCCAGGTGGATCCTTTTTTAAAAAGCAACACTAATAGTTCCTGTTTCTTGAACACTTATTATGTGTGTAGTACTATTCTGAGCTCTGTGCGTCCAGTAGCTCATTTAATCCTTATAGTAGGTATTATAATTACTCTTATTTTGTGGATTAGGAAATCCAGGCACAGAGAGGTTAAGTCACTTGCCCAAGGTCACACAGGTAGTGTGACTTGAGTCTGCACTTTAAACCCCAGTGTTGGGGTGGGTGCGGTACTGGCGGGTGATTCTTTTTTCCTGTCCATTTCAAACTATGAAATGATGGGATTGGGTTTGGTTAGCGATAAGATCCAGTCTGTTTGGTTCCACTTACCTTTCCTCATTTCCTCCTTTGACATGGCAGTGGCCTCTTTCCCCGGCCACATGGTCAGTTGCTATTGCATCCAGGGTCCTTGCAGGCAAGCCCAGGATTGGAGGAGAAAGAGTAAATGGGCAGCTGCCATCTTGCCATTTGTCTGTAACTTGCTTTTGCTCTGAAATAGGAGACAAATAGGATATGTTAAAAAACAACAACTGAAAACAACAGGGGAACTGGAAAAAAGAGAACTTCTGTGGATTTTTCTTCTTCAGATGTTTGCCGATTTGCACACGTCCGTGTGCCTGCCGTGTTTGTGCTCTTTTCCTAAAGGCTAAAATACCCAAAAATCCCCGTCAGGCCCTAGGTAAAAGGTGAGACTGTGGGATACAACCCCACAGATGTCTGGCTCTGTCTGTGGCTGGTGGTGAGATTTACACAAACGACATGTCTTTTCTATGCTTTTCCTCTTTCTGTCAGCAAAATGGAAGGAACCCAAACCTCCTTGCTTGCTTATGCTCACATTTTGAGGTGGCAAGAGAAGCTTTAGGCTGTTCAGCTGGAAGGCATCATTTAGGTAAAAGCCTGCTCTTATAAATGAACATTTTTTTTTCCTCTTGCAAATCCTGTTTCACACTGGCACCAACTGTGGGGCTGTTGCGTAGGAGAATTCATTTGCATCTTGGGCTCCTGTCTTACCGGAGCCAGCCGTCCTGGTCCAGCCCAGAGGCTGTCTGCCCAGGCTGCCCTTCTTGCAGTGTGTGCATGGCTGAAGCAGGATGGCAGGAGGAGAGTGAGCCGCAGTCAGAGCTTACTGTTTAGGGTGGCGCCTTTGAGCCCCACAGCTTTAGGGGCCAGGGATTACCTATGCTCAAACCTTGGTTTCTGGGCTGTGGAGCCGGAGAACTGGGGCTGCATCTTGGCTCACCGTGTAGCCCCGGGCAGGTTACGCAGCCTCTCAGCTTCCTGTACGGTGAGATGGAGGATGCCTACTTTATACGATTGTTGTGAGGACCAGATCACACGGTGCTTATGAAGGTCCCAGCGCACAGACGTGGCAGGTGGTGGAGCAAAACGGCACTGGTGACAAATGGCCTGGATTCAGATTCTGACCCCACCACTTTCAAACTTGGGCAAGTTACCTCCCCGTACCTCGGGCTCCTCAGGCATGTATGGCATAAAATCAGGATCGTACTTTCTAGAGCTGTTGTAAGGATTTAATGAGATAAAAAGCACCTGGAACAGTGCCGGGCACTCAGGGTGCGATGTAGTAGTGTTCGGCCTTCCCAGGAAGAATGGGAACTCTTTACGAGTTGGTTACCATTTGGTCCCCTGCTGCCTTGGTATTTCTTAGCCTTGATTTCAGTCCTCTCAGATTGGTTTCTCCTCCTGGAGCCCATCCCTGATTGTACTCCTCTCTCTGCCCTGCTAGCTTGACTGTAGTCGACTCTGATGGAGCAACCAGCTCTACCACTGCAAGCCTGACAGTGAACAAAGCCGTGGATTATCCCCCTGTGGCCAATGCGGGCCCCAACCAAGTGATCACCTTGCCCCAGAACTCCATCACCCTGTTCGGGAACCAGAGCACTGATGATCATGGTATCACCAGCTATGAGTGGTCACTCAGCCCAAGCAGCAAGGGGAAGGTGGTGGAGATGCAGGTAGGAGGGAATGGCTTCTGTCTTTTCTTGCCCAGGGGAGTTCAAGCAGCTGGACTGGGTTACCCTTCCAAGGCTGACTTTTTACTCCATTTTAATCACCCAAGTTGCATTTATATAGCACATTGAACATTGGAATTTAAAAAAAAATCTAGAACATTTAGGGGGCCTTTAATGAAGACATTACCAAAACCTTTGTCTTTAATGTTTGATATTAGAGGAAAAGACTAGATGAGAAACAGGGACTATTCTAGAATGGTTCCAGAGAGTCAGACTACACTGAAGCCAGACTACACTGAAGCCAGACTACACTGAAGCCTTTTGGGTGCAGATCTCCCCCCGACCCTGAGAAAGAGCATGTGTGTGAGTAGGGTGTGAGGAGAGTGGGAAGGAAGGGCAGAGGGAGAGAGAGAGAGCGAGCGAGCATCTCAAGCAGGCTCCATGCTCAGCACGGAGCCTGACACGGGCTCGATCTCCTGATCCTGAAATCATAATGCAAAAGTGCAGATCTTAATGAGCTCTCCGACAAATGGGGAGTCGTAGCCCACCTGGCTAGGTGGTGAGCATCTTCTGTCTGGACATACTTAGGAAGAGACTAGATGTGTCACCAGGCAGGTAAGTAAATGAAACTGCCTATGACAAACCAGACAACAGCCCCTGACTGAAGGGTCAGCTGCGCCTCGGGTCAGCTAGTCATTGCCACATGGAAATGTCCCAGGATTAATAGCTAGGCCAACTTCTCAAGAAAAAAACAGAAATCTAGACCTGTGTGTGAAAATATTCCATTTGGGGGGGCACCTGGCTGGCTCAGTCAGTGGAGCATGTGAGTTTGAGCCCCACGTTGGGTGTAGAGATTACTTAAAAATAAAATCTTCAAAAAAAAGAAAATTTCTAACTTTTAAGACACTGCAGGCCAAACAAAATACCTACAAGGTAGATTCAGCCCAGAGGCTGCCAGGTTTTGCCTACGGTTCTAGAGGAAGCTCCTGCCTTGGAAGCTTGCCCTGAATTGTGTATAATGTTCCTCTGACACTCTTTGTTTCCAAATTGGAGGCATGACTTAGAGCTCACATTTCACCTGGCTTTTTGTTTAGATATTATGGTCGGTTTCTCTGCTGCTACAGAATCTGCAGAAACCTGCAAGAGGACAGCATGGCGTCACCTAGCATTTTGAGTTGCTGCCTTGTGTTACCCGGGCAGCTTTGTTAAGATCGCTGAGTGGTCTCAGCAGGAAGAACATGGTTTTAAAAGGGTTATTTTATTAAACACTCATGGCCCTCTTGCTGGCTGGGATCATAAAGACCGATCTTGGTTATCTCCGCACACTTTCCTGTACTCTTCTCCCTTGTGAGAGCTCTGACTTTATTGAAACTGCTGCTGTCAGGGCAGGTGTTCCCTTGAAGGGGGAACCTTTTACTTTTTACAGGATGTCCCACAGTGCCGGATTCCACACTTACTAGGTTTAGAAAATGAGGTGCATCGTTTAGACCAGAGTAGGACTTGTGTGATGTGATTCTGGGAGTCTCCTTTTCCACTTGTCTGTGTTTATGCATCCAGGGTGTTCGAACACCAACCCTGCAGCTTTCTGCCATGCAAGAAGGAGACTACACGTACCAGCTCACAGTGACCGACACAATAGGACAGCAGGCCACCGCCCAAGTGACTGTTATTGTGCAGCCCGGTGAGTTCAGCCTTGTCGTGCATGCTCTTCTGCTGGCTGGCCCCTTGAACCGTGGGGGAGAAGAGGGTTTTGGTTCCGATCTATACGACGGAGGGGTAGGAGGCAGCAGGTCACAGGGCCCCTGGCACCTTTGGTTGTCCACTCTGAGCGCTTTCCTCAGAGCTAGAGAGAGGGAGAGGACTTGACGGCCTCAGCTTGTGGCCTTGCCTGGGGCTGGTTATTGCAGCTTTGAGGAGACCTAGCAGATAGAGTCTGTTATCCCAAATCCTACCCTAGCCTTTAAGGTGAAAGCCCTCGTCTGCAAGAAAACCCTTATCACTCAGACCCTCTCTTTTGAACACCTGTAGCATCACATCTCAAACTGACATGGCATCTCACCTCCATCGTATTCTGCAGTGGTCTAATGAGAGGCTTTCACTCTGAAGTTCTTCATCGTGAGCTCCCTGACCCACAGTATCTGATAGTTCTGTGGGCAGAGAGGCAGTGTTCTCATGTCTTCCAGAACATATGTCCCGGTTAGTTCCTCTCCTTTCCCAGCTCAACTGCCTGCTTTTGATCTCTGTGTCTCTGTCTTCTAGAAAACAACAAGCCTCCACAGGCAGATGCAGGCCCTGATAAAGAGCTGACCCTTCCTGTGGACAGCACCATGCTGGATGGCAGCAAAAGCTCTGATGATCAGAAAATTATCTCCTATCTCTGGGAGAAAACACAGTGAGTGTTGACACAAAAGCCTTATTAATACAACCCCAGACCTTTGAAAGCAAGGTGGCACTGGCTCTTACGGGCTTATCCCAGGAGGGTGACAGAGAAAGAAACGGTAACAATCCTAAACTTCAATTCTAAGGAACTGACATAAAATAATTGTAAGAAAAAAGGAATGCTTGTCATCAGCTAGTCTCCAGTTAGTACTCTGTGGTCCCGGTGCTCTCACAGGTACGATCCATCTGCCGAAACGCAAAGTTTAATTACACTTGAGACGCAGCATGGAAGGGGTAATGGAGCAGAAAAATACTGGTGCTCCAGATTACCTGGGTGAGGCTGGCAGTGGGAAGGGCAGAGCACTGGTACCGGGAATCGAAGGGTCATCTGCACAATGAGAGCATTGCTCTGTCATTGTTTCCTTAAAGACACCGTTTACCAGTTACGGTAGTGAGAGGCTGAAGGCACTCACCAAAATAATACTAATTAAACTGGAATTACCTGATCAAACCATTTCTGGTTCTCACAGTTTGTTTCAGCTCCTCTAAACCGTAACAAATAGAGCTTAGGTTGTGTGCAGGATCCCACAGGAAGCAAAAGAATTCCAAGGGAGAGTTAAAAGCATTCTTGGTTTCCAAAGGGACCAACCATAGGACAGCCTGAGCTTTTTGTTTTGTTTTCATTTTTGACTAGGGCATTAGAAATGGGTGGGAAGGGGCTATAATTTGACTAGAGGAACCGTGTGATTTACGATTGGTGAGTTGGATTCTAGAAATTCTTTTCCTTGGCTCTTGTCTCTGGTGGAGAACTGAGTCTTCCTCAGCCCGGTGTTTGAATCATGACTCTTTGCTGAAGACACAGGAGATAAGCCGTCAGCTGAGTTTTACCAGTGCCTACAGCAGAAAGAATGCTTGGTGTAACTTCTTGGGGGAGAATCTGTTTCAGGAGGGATGACTAGGGCCAGAGGTTATATGTTTAAACAGCAAAACAGAGCAAAACCGGGAAGATTGCAGATTTCTCTGGTTATCCTGTAATTTTTTTTAAAGGTTTTATTTATTTATTTGAGAGAGAGACAGACGGCGTGCAAGCAAGGGGAGGAGCACAGAGGGTGAGGGAGAAGCAGACTGCGCCCTGAGCAGGGAGCCCAATGAGGAGCTTGATCCCGGAGAACCTGGGATCATGACCTGAGCCAAAGGCAGACGCTCAACTGACTGAGCCACCCAGGCACCTCTGGTCATCCTGTAATTTCAGGAAAGCTCTGGGGTGTTCACCCTGAACAGAAGGGCTCTGTGGTATGTGCAGAGCTGTGCCTGGATGTTGGCACAGAGCTCACTCCCCGGCCGCAGGCCCCTGCGTGAGGCCACAGAGGAGGAGGAGGGTTGCCAGGTGTGCGGGGTCCTGTGTGACCCCTGTCCAGGAGCTGCAGGGAGCTTGGCTTCAGAGCTGCTAAGAAGAGGATGGTTTTGCTGACAGTTCCTCTGCAGCCTTGGCCCATTTCCTTTCCTTGACTTTTCAGTAGGAGGGAGTTTGGCATGTGATTAAGAAACGCATCTTGCTTCTTTGCTGGCAAGAGCTGAACCAACTACTGGGCCAGAAATGCTTTTCAGAAACATCACTCTGAAACCCTTCTTTTGATCGGAGACCTACTCAGAGCACTTTCTTCCTTTTACGAACTGGAACAGCAAAGAGTTTGAACGTTCTAGAAAGTCATACGATAAAGCTAGACATGTTTGAAAGCTGGTGAATGGAATTTTCTGATCAGCGGGGTAGCCTATATTTTGGGGCCAAACGACACTGTCCAAATGGAATATTTTTAAATGTGCCCTCTCAAGGTCTGGGAAACAGTAGTTCGTGTCTCAGCTGAGGCCGTAAATGTCTGCTCCTGCTGAGTCAGGGACGGAGAGCCGCAGACATGTAGCGCTCCATCCTCTGGCTTCTGTCTTTGTCCAGGGGACCTGATGGTGTGCAGCTCGAGAATGCGAACAGCAGTGTCGCCACGGTGACAGGGCTCCAAGTAGGAACCTACGTGTTCACCTTGACGGTCAAAGATGAGAGGAACCTGCAAAGCCAGAGTTCTGTGAATGTCATTGTCAAAGAAGGTACCTCCCTGCTTTGGGTTGGCGCAGGCTCTGGGGCAGATACCTGAGGAATCGGGCAGCTCTTTTTGGCTGCAGCGATTGATCAGAGACGGGGGGGGGGGGGGGGGGGGGGTGGGGGTGGGGGGGTGGGGGGGGGGGGTAGCTGCTACGTGCTTTTCTGAAACAACCTTTAATTGGGGTGACTGCAAGGTGAATTTTAACTTCTTGTCTGTCTGTCCCCCTCCCACCTTCCTTCTCAGTTGAATAGGGAAAGAATTTGTTTTTTTCCTTTGCATCTTTATGTTGTCTCTGCTGCTAAGCCCTGGGGTTTCTGAGGCTCTCCTGCTGGTGCAGTGACACCTGCCGTCAGGCCTTAGAATGACTGTCCTGCGCCATAGCTTCCTGTGCTCTTCGGGGAGCCTGCTGCTGCCAGCATGAGGCTGGAGTTGATGGGCTTGCTGCGGTGTGCAGGCTGCAGGCTTGGGCAGGCGGTGGCCTGCGGGGAGGGCTGTGAGCTGACGGGAGGTGCGCAGGTGACCTCCGGCTAAGGTATCCCGTGCTCAGTGGATGGAGGTTGCACACCTGAGTAAACAGAACTGCAGGTGGAGCCCAGTAGAGATCTCCTATTTCCTTTTTCTCTATTAGAGTATTAAGGAAGGAATAAAAGATGTTGAGAAAATAACATTCTGGGCCCTATTTTGGCTTTTGTTTTGTTTTTTAAAGGTTTTACTTATTTATTCATGAAAGAGAGAGAGAGAGGGGCAGAGACACAGGCAGAGGGAGAAGCAGGCTCCATGCAGGGAGCCCGACATGGGACTCCATCCTGGGTCTCCAGGATCATGCCCTGGGCCAAAGGCAGATGCTCAACCACTGAGCCACGCAGGCGTCCCTTGTGCCTTATCTTGAATAGAATTTGTGGTATCAGCTGCCTGAAACCTAAAGTCTAATAAGGCTTTAGTCCAGTGGGGGTCTCTGTCTCCTGTCACATGCTTCCCAGGCAGAGATGTGGAATGCTTCCGGGGAGGCTGCTAGGAGGACCCAGGAGAAGCTGCTGCCGCTGCTGGATGGTGTCAGGGGAGCATTTCTCTGGGTGGGACTGGCACCTGAGGACCTATGGCCCTGGTGGTTTCCCGTCTGCACTGCTAGTGTTGGGCTTCCCGGTCCAGGCTGGGTTGTGTTTAGCATGGACAGCGGGGAACCAAGGCTGGTCTTCACTGGGTCCTAACTCCTAATTAAAAGTTGGCTTATTGTTTAAAAAAAAAAAAAAGCCACTAGGCTTTTCAGTGCTGGCGTGGCGAGGCACCTAAACAGTCCTGCATTTAGGATGCTTTTGATGTTCATCTCCCCATAAGCATCATGAGGAAGCATTCTTTTCTGTTATTTCACTGATGTCTCTTTGGTTAGAAATGAACAAACCACCTATAGCCAAGATAACTGGGAACGTGGTGATTACCTTGCCCACGGACACAGCAGAGCTGGACGGCTCCAAGTCCTCAGATGACAAGGGAATAGTCAGCTACCTCTGGACCCGAGACGAGGGCAGCCCAGCAGCAGGGGTAAGTGCCAGGACCTGGGGAGCTGCACAGGGTCGGGATGATGAGACGGCGAGAGGAGGCCGAGCCAAACATTCCGGGATCCGTTTTAACCAAAGGGTCTCTTGTGTCAAACCTGGATTGTCCTCTGAACCCCAGGGACCCGAATCCAGGGACCCTGCCTAGGGTCGCTCTGCAAGCTAGTGTGGCACAGAATGTGCTCTTCTGCCCTAATCTTGGAGCTTTGGGCTGCAGAGCTGTCACAAAGCAGGAGTTCCCCCAAGGGGCTTAGTTATAGCAGAAGCAGCACCTGAGCCCATAAAAGAAGTGTGGTTTTGCAACGTCGCCATGTCGTTCAACCCCACAGGAGGTGCTAAATCACTCTGACCACCACCCGATCCTCTTTCTTTCCAACCTGGTCGAGGGCACCTACACATTTCACCTGCATGTGACTGATGCGAAGGGGGAGAGTGACATGGATCGGACCACTGTGGAGGTGAAGCCTGGTGAGTTCATCTAGCCCTGGGACTGCGTGGAAGTGCTGGCCCAGCCCAACAGGACCTCAGTCCTGGGGCCCCTCTCCAGTGAGGACAGAGACAGGTGGCAAAGCTAGCTTCTAAACACTCTAGAGACCCCAAGCTGAAAAATCCTCAGTCTGTTCCAGCAGTATCCCTCCTCCCCTCGAGGAGTATGGACCCCCCCACTCATCTCAGATGGAGAAACTGAAACTCAGAGAGGGCAGGGCTTGCTCAGCGTCACACAGCAGTTGTGTCAGAGCCAGGCCTTCAGGCCCCTAGTCCAGCGCTCCCTCCTCTACATGCGATGGATGAGAGAGGGCTCTGGGTGCTTTGGGAATCTGAGCACAGGAATAACTTGAGTCATGATGCCTCATCAGCACCCAGCTGCAGAAAACAATTTATTTTTATAAGTTGAGCCTCAGGCTTTATCTGACAACCCAGGGAAGGTAAAGTAACTGCTGTCCTTTACATTTTTCAGATTTGCAGAAGTAAAATTTCTTTCTTAAATAGAACCGTGTTTTTATTTTGCTTTATTTTATTTGGCTAATTTGGTGTTAGGGAAGCAATGAGCGTGGGGTGGGGCAGAGCTTTATAAGTTCCCGAGCCTCTGATGTGAAGGTATTAACTGTAGAGGGGAAGGGATCTTGGCAGGCCTTCCAGTCCTTGTCCTACCTCTATGAAGGACAACAGCCAAGACACTATACAGCTTCTTCTGTGTTTAAAATCAGATCACAGATAGTCTGCTAATTATGCAAATGATACATCAGAACAGGCAAATGGTGCATCCAATTATGGGAATAAGGTATTCTGAATAATCACGTTTAACTTCCAAGTGCAGAGCAGTCTCTAGGTCACAATTAGAAATGAAGGACAGTGGTCTCCGAGTCCTAGAGTTGTGAGGACACCATGCAGCTCGCTGTTGCTCTAAGGAAGCCCTCGTTTCTTGACCACTTGGATTTTTTTGTGCATTTACTGTCCTCAAACCTGAAGGGCTGGTGCATTTCCATTATCAGTAAGATTGTTGAGGTGGACATTTTCTTCCCCGTTGTTGTAGACAAAGCACAGCAAGTCGCTGAAAATCCTGCATGGGTCAGGGTAAGTTGTAGATATCCCTCTCGTCCTGGAGAGCTCGGGGAGCCACCTGGGCAGAAGCTTTTATTATTATTGTTATTGTTAAAGATTTTATTTGAGAGAGAGAGTGCGCGTGTACGCATGAGTGGGGGGAAGGGCAGAGGGAGAGAACCTTTAAGCAGACTCCCCGATGAGTGGGGAGCCCAATTCAGGACTTGAGATTATGACCCCTGAGATCCTGACCTGAGCCGAAACCAAGAGTCAGATGCTTAACCAGCTGAGCCACGCAGGCGCCCCAGGACAGAAGCTTTAGGAGCAGACCTGGAAGTGTCCTCCTTCCCCACCCCCTTCACCAAACCCCTCCCGTCTCTGCTACGGCCTGATCCACAGGCTGGTAGGCAGCTCCTTGCGCCGGCCCCAGATCGCAGCAGCGGCAGTGCACGTCGGGCCCTGCTCCTCTGCAGGCGGTCGGTTGCACCCCTGAGTGCAGCCACTGCTTTCTCTCCAGGCCAGAACAGACGCACAGTGGCAACTCTGTGTTAACTCTCCTACTTCCAAAACCGTGACTGATCCACATGCTTTCCAGATCCCAGGAAAAACAACCTGGTGGAGATCATCTTGGATGTCAACGTCAGTCAGCTAACTGAGAGGCTGAAGGGGATGTTCATCCGCCAGATTGGGGTCCTCCTGGGGGTGCTGGATTCCGACATCATTGTGCAAAAGATTCAGCCGTACACGGAGCAGAGGTAGCTGGGCAATGAACGGGGGGGAGAAAAGGAGAGACCAGGGGCCCCCTGGGCTTCTTGATTGAGCTGAGAAATAGTGTGGGTAGATGGAGAGTGGTGCGCTCTCTGACCCAGACCTACTCATGGTTTCCATTTCTTTCATGAACTCGTCTCTTCTAGCACAGGTCGCATACTCCGCGCTAGATATTGCAGCAGGGTACCAGGGTGCAAGGGCAGGAGAGGTCCATTATGTTTGAAGGCCCTCGTTTAGTAGGGAAGACACTTGGGATCAACATAGAACATCAGTACAGGAAGAATTTGACAGACTGTGTGGCATCATGGGGAAGCAGGGCCAAGGCCAGTTAGTTCTGTCAGAGGAGTTTGGGAATGTGGTCCAGAGATGTCCTGCTGAGCAAGCTTAGAAAGACTAGGACGGAACTCACAACTGGGGAATAGCATGAGCCACGGTCCTGTGATACGGAAGTACACTTTCCTCTGGAAGAAGTTGTTTGGCTCAGAGCACTCACTAGGCCCCAGGACATGGCGGGAGAGAAGACTGGCCTTGTAAATGGACAACAGTCAAAAGCAGGCCAAGGAGTTTAGTCTTAATAGTTTGGGAAGCAGAGGACTCGTTAGGTTGTTTTATATGTATGAAGCTTCTGTTTTGTTTCTGTTTTTCTTTAAAGATTTTATTTGCGGGGGGGGAGCACAAGCAGGGGTGGGGGCGCAGAGGGAGAGGGGGGAGCAAGCTCCCCACTGAGCAGGGAGCCTGATGCGGGCAGGGCTTGATCCCAGGACCCCAGATCATGACCTGAGCCAAAGGCAGACACTTCGCCGACTGAGCCGCCCAGGCGCCCCTTGTTTTGGTTTTGAAGCAAGGAAATTTTGTTTTGTTTTGTTTTTTTATTGGGAGACCAGTAGTGTGGAGGCTAAACCAAAATAGGGAGAGACAGAAGGCTGGGGAGCCTAGAACTGTTCTAGTAAAAAGGTAATAAAACCCAAGTTGAGGGAGTGGCAATGGAACGACAGGAGAGGAGGAGTGAGAACAGAGGTAAATCAGAAAGACTTGGCGATCCTTTGGGAATGAAAGTGAATGAGGCACCAAACACAAGGCTTTAGGTCTGGGTGCCTGGATCGGTGGTGGATGCCAGTAAGTGAGGTTGGGGATACAGAGGGAACGGGTTCCAAGGAAAAGGTGATGAGTTGAGTTTTGACTGTTGGATTTAGGGTGTCTCCTGGCCTACCTGGGGAGAGGTTTCATCAGACAGTGGCAAGTGTGGGCTAGAACTTGGGGTGGGAGGAAGGGCCACTGCATACAGGTAGGAATCAGAGCCACGAGGACGGATGAGGCACACCAGGCTGAGCGTCCAGCGCTCTGGAGAAGCCCAGTGGTGACGGAGGTGGCAAGGCCAGGAGAGCCAGGAACAGAAAAGCAGGTGGGAGGGGTCTGCTGGAAGCTAAGGGGCGGCTGGCAGGTGGGGCTGCCACCCAGGGAGAGTGTGAGGACATAAAACAGGCTTTGGCTTTGTAGTTAGTGGATCATCAGAACCATAGGACGTTGGGTGATGGATGTTGGGGGCAGAGTGCAGATGCACGTCATGGTTGGAGGACAGAGAGGTAGCCATACAGCAGAGCTTGGTGCCGAAAATAAGGTGGGGGATGGAAAGAACCCCCTTTAAAGACAGGAAATGCTTGAGCACCTTTATAGACCCAGGGAAGGTGCAGAGGAGGAGTAGAAGGTGGTGGCAGGGGTGGGCCCTGGGCGCCGGCCTGGGCGCCTTGCTGCAGGCGGAGCGGGAGATGGGAGGAAGAGGCAAGATGTGCTGCTGTGGAGGCATCTTAGAGGGAGACGGGGTGCACCCGTTCGGGAGCACTGGCACTGGTTCTGGGTTTTGTCTCTGAAACTGGAGGCAAGACCGTCTGCTTTGAGGACGTGAGAGTGAGGCAGGCAGCCGAGGACAGTCCAGGCTAGGCAAGGCAGCTCCAGAAAAGGGTGTCAGCTTTGAGCCATCTGGGGCCTCGGCCAAGGTTAGAGACAGGAGATGATGGCGTGGAGCCCCGGAGCTTTAAGGTGTGCTGTTCCCGGAGCCTCGCCCCCAGAGGTTAGGGCTCAGTGGGTCTGTGGTGAGGTCTGGCCACCGGAAGTCCCAAAGCTCTCGGTGGGGTTCATGGGTCCGAGCAGGATGATTAGGACTTTGTATTTAAGCTCTGCTGGCGGCCTGGGCATGGGAACGGGGCGAGTGGCTGCTTGGACCGACGCAGCTGCCGGGGGTCGGGGCAGAAGCCCCGCGGAGTTGTTGCTGGGGGCGCTGTGGAAAGTGGTGCGGGACTAACCACTGGCACACGTGCCTGCGCTGCACCTGCGAGAGAAAAGCGTCACCGTGGCGCTGGGTTCCTGGCTCGGGCTGTGGTCTCATGGAGGCGTTCGGAGGAGGATGGGCTTAGAGGGAGACTGATGGCGGGAAGGTGCACGGGGCTGAGCACGGCGCTGCCGGGGGACTGACCTGGCCCTCCAGCCCCTCCCCGCACCTTAGCCCACCAGCTGGGCCTGCCTCCTGGGAAAACGCTGGCGCCCTCTTATAGGCCTGTTACCGAGCCCCAGACAGGAGGATGTTGCCTGTCCTGCCACAGGGAGAGGGCTCAGGTGTGCTTACTTCAAGTTCTTTGGACCCGCTGGGTTGGAGGAGACCGTGGGAGGTGGGGGGGGGTGGCGGTGGCGGGCATCGTAGCAAGTGGTTGCAGGAGACATGGTGGTTTAGGAGAGACCAGGGGAAAGGAGGTGGAGATGCCAGGGCCGCTGGCGTGTGGGAATCGAAACTGTCAGCATGGATTAGGTAACTGGGCAGAATTCATGAGAAATGGGCCACAGACCTTTAATGCAAAGTTTGTTTCTTGATTCTGGGTTTGTAATTCCCCACTGTTGGTCTCACTGTGCAGTGAACTTTTAGAAAGCCTTCTGTGGTGCCACACGGAGGAGGTAATGCTTTGGGATAAACAGGTGAGGCTGCTTATCCTGGAAGCAGCTGATCCAGTGCCTCTAGGTCCCAGCTAGCTCCTCTGCGTGCCAACGGGGCCATATCTGGGACACACCTACAGCCCGTGTGACCCACTGACGGCAGAGGTCTGGCGGGGAGGCTGATGTGGAGTCCAGTGGGCTCCCCAAACGAGGGCCAAGGCATAGAGAACAGACCGTGCCCACGTAAACGTGTGGTCAGACATGACCCCCTTGGACAGAAATGGACAGAAAGCAGAGCGAATCTAGACACGGGGCAGCATAACCTCGCACCAGCCACCCCACTGGGTCAGGTCCTCCTTGTTGCTGTCACGTGAATGATCATTCGGCTGTTCTGATCCATGGATAATGCCTTTTGTGTTTTTTAAGATTTTATGTATTTAAGAGAGATAGCAAGTGAGAGAGAACCCGAGCTGGGGGAGGGGCCGGGGAGAGGGAGAAGCAGACCCCCCCCCCCGCCCCCAGAGCAGGGAGCCTGATGCCAGACGTGGCCGTGACCTGAGCTGAAGGCAGACGTTCACCCATTGAGCCAGCCGGGCAGCCCCTCGGGTGATGCTCCGATGCTGCCCGACGGTACACATTTTCCAGAGCGTTGTGGTTTGTCTTACAGGTGACCTAGACACACACCCGATGGCACCACACCGCTCTTAGCTGTCAGAGGCTGACGGCAGAGATGTGCTTGTAACCAAGTCCCTGTTTCCTGACCTCGGGTTGCTGGTTGGAACGGCCCCTCTCGTGAGCTGGGGCAGCTTAGGGCATTTCTGAGAGCATAGGTTTTGGAGTCGGACCTGTCGGGGCTGGGATTTGGCTCTGCCGTAATTAACTGTGTGACCCTGGGCAAGTTACTTAACCCCCCTGAGCCCGTGCTGTCCTCTGTAGAATGGCGATGACCCTGAGAACACCGTTGTCACTGGCCTGCGGGGAGAGCATGGCCCCATCCTTAGCAGCTCTGGCACAACAGGAGGTGCCTTCAGAGAATGTGGCGACCGCTGCTGGTAGGGCTCCAGCTCATTGTCACCGTCGCATGTCTCTGCAGCACCAAGATGGTATTTTTTGTTCAAAACGAGCCTCCCAACCAGATCTTCAAAGGCCATGAGGTGGCGGCGATGCTCAAGAGTGAGCTGAGGAAGCAAAAAGCCGACTTTCTGATATTCAGAGCCCTGGAAATCAATACCGTCAGTGAGTACCTGGGGGCAGCTGGGATTGGAGCCTCCCCGGCGCACACAGCTCCCCACGGCCCCGTGTCCTCGGGCTTTACCTCCTGTTCTCTGGAACACGGAGACGAGCACCTGGCTACACTAGCAGGATCACGAGAGCGTCCCGCCCGGTGCAGAGGCCTGGGAGTTGGGGAAGAAAATGACATCTTTATTGTCACTAACCTCTGAGACTGTTCCCTGCCATGAGGAAGGCAGGCAGCCGACTCCACTAGTGGTCACGGAACCTGTGACTTTAAGGCAGTAGAAATCACAGGAAACTTCATAGCACATACCTGACGAAATGTCATTTTTACTCCTTGTTACTTTAAAATTATGACCCTTGTTAGAGCCGCTTCTACATCTGGCTACTTAATGTTTTCATAAAGACGCATGTATTATTAGCTTAAAACTCTCTATTCTTAAGTATTTCAAGAACATGTGCAATATAAGTGCTTTCCTTTGGAATGTACCCAGGTATTTTATTTTGGCATTTAAGTGGTGCAAAGGAGGGGCCCGGGGGCCTGAAAGACCAAGAACTGGCCACGCAGAGTAGCAGTGAGCCCCCGGTTCAGATGACGGCGCCCTGTCCAGCCGGCAGGGAGCCTGGGGCCGCGGGGGGCCTGGGGTGGGGGACCCCAGGGCCGCGGGGGGCCTGGGGTGGGGCCAGGGCGCTGACTCCTGCCCGCCGCCTTCAGCGTGCCAGCTGAACTGTTCCGACCACGGCCACTGCGACTCGTTCACCAAGCGCTGTGTCTGCGACCCCTTCTGGATGGAGAATTTCATCAAGGTGCAGCTGAGGGCCGGAGACAGCAACTGTGGTGAGTGCTGCCGGCGGGGCGGGGTCGGGCAGGCGGGTGGGGGGTGTCCGCGGCCCGTGAGCGGGTGGGGCGGGCTGTGTCTTCCTCGGGCTTCCCGTCCTCAGCGCTGCGCCGGCTCAGGGCGGGTTCGGCAGCGGCTCATAGGAACCAGGCTTAGGTCCGAGCCCTGCGCGCAGCCCGAGTCAGATCGGCCGCCAGGCGCCCTGTGCTTTCGGAGGCGTCGTGCTGCAGCCTCCCGGAGTCCCCTGGGGCTGCCTCCGCAGCTGCCCCCCCCCCCCCCCCCCGGCAGGGCCTCCCCTGCCCAGGGCAGTTCGTCGGGGCGCGGAGCCAGGCTACCTGCCAAGGCCGGGGCAGCCCACGCCGCGCTCCTGGCCGCTCCGCTCGCCACCCTCACCACTTGGTTTCTTTCGGCAGAGTGGAGCGTGTTGTACGTTATCATTGCTTCCTTTGTCATTGTCGTCGCCCTCGGAACCCTGTCCTGGACGGTGATCTGTTGCTGTAAGAGGTAAGACAGATTCTCCTTGGGAAGCGTTAGAGCTTCGGGTCATGGATTCATCTGTTCGGGAGGTACTGGCACCTTCTGCGCAGAGGGCGTGAAGTCTTGGGGTTCCTGGCTCCCCGGCACTGCCCCACGCAGGCGTCGGGAGGCCTTCATCACTGTGGCCCACTCTTGAGGGCCGGGCTGCACTCCCGCAGCCAAGGGCTGTCAGGGCCCCGGTTCCCGACATGGGAAGCATGGCCATGGCCAGGGTGGGAGCGGGAGGGCCCGGGGGTGCGCTGGGTCACTTCTCTAGGGGCGTGTTACCCTGCACACCTGCCTCTGCACTTGACACGTGAATCCTCAGTCCTGCCCTTCTTCCTAGGTGGGGTTCACACGTCTGCACACTTTCGCGTAACTGGAGATTTTAGTCAGTCGTGATTGAGTGTTTTGGGGTTTTGTTGTTGGAGCCTTCCCATCTAGTCTTACTATTTTATTTTAAGATTTTATTTATTCATGAGAGACACAGACAGAGGGAGAAGCAGGCTCCACGCAGGGAGCCCAACATAGTACTCGATTCCGGGTCCCCAGGGTCACACCCTGGGCTGAAGGTGGCGCTAAACCGCTGAGCCCCCCGGGCTGCCACTAGTCTTAATAATGAAAACTACAAAAAAAAAGAAAAAAATACGTAATACATTCCCATTAAACATAAGTTTGATTTCTACATGACTGTGTGCCAAGCACCAGGATAACCCTTTTTAGGTAAAATATCTTTTTTTAAATGCACCTGTCAACCTTTTCTCATCTCACAGCTAAGGGGACGAAGGCACGGGAAAATGGCCTCGCCTGTCCACCGACACAGCTAATAGGTGGCAGAGCAGAGATTTAACCTCACATAAAATGTAGAAAGTGAATTTTTAAAAATTCCCAGCAGTCCGAGAGAGCCACCACCAAGAGCTCTGTTGGTTAACGCTCCCCCCCCCCCCCAAGCAGCGGTTGGTGGTTCCCTCAGAGAACCGAGCGTGTCTGACTCCAGTTGCCTCTTTCCCTTGTTGCTGTACGCACGGCTTAGAGGCTTCCAGCCCTGCACGAGGGCATGCGGACGCTAATCATCCCCGGAATTTGGCTTACACCTGAGTTTTACCAAAAAAAAGTGCTTTTTTAACCTGAAACCTCCCTCACTTAGGGAGGTCAGGAGGTGCATATAGAAATGCCTGTGCTGCGTTTAAGAACCATAGGAATGACATGACTGGTTCGTCTGGACACCAGCTGCCGAGGACAGAGAAGTTACAGCGGCTGCTGGGATGTCAGCAGATACCCCAGCCGATCCCCCAGCAGATCCAGGCTTGCGCCGCTGGGTCCTAGCAGAGCAGCAGCCCAGGCCTCCTGCTAGGGAGATAGTACCCCAGACGGGCGGCCGCCCGCTCCACTGGCCACTGAGTAAAGCTGTTTCCCCGCCCCAGCATCTTCCCTCCACGTACCGCCGCTCGTGGGGCACGCTGGATGTGCCCGCACTCTGTTACCTTTACGTTCTAATGGATCTCTGCTTCCTTGTCACTGCGGGCAGCTGAGCCCGGGGTACGGTGGCCACAGGTTTTTGCCTTTCCCAGAATTGCCAAGGGGCCGTTGAACAACAGACACAGCTGCCACCTCCTGGCTGAGAAGCACGGAAGGAAACCATCCTTCCGTTAGGCGGTGTCCATGGGGACAAGGGGACAAGGCCTCTGCAGCCTGTGGCCCCCCTGACGGGCCCCCCACATCCCGGAGCCCCACTTGGAAGCCCCTTGAGCAGCGGCGGGGTTGTGTTTTTCAGGCAGAAAGGAAAACCCAAGAGGAAAAGCAAGTACAAGATCCTGGACGCCACGGACCAGGAGAGCCTGGAGCTGAAGCCCACCTGTCGGGCAGGTATGGCCCTTGGGTGCAGGCGGGGCCCCGCACTCCTGAGTGCGCTGGAGACCGCTGTCCCTGGTCCCCCAGCAGTCCTGCACGGTCTGTACCGAAACCCACCATTGTCCCTAGTCCCCCAGCAGTCCTGCGCTGTCCTCGCAGAGACCCACCGCCGTCCCAAGTACCCGTGTCGCTAATAGCTGTTTGTTCTGGAAGGTCGTTTTGTGCTGAGGGCTGAGCTGCCCGTCTCTGGCAGAAACCAGCTGCTGGGTGAGCTCTGAGCGGCCCCCCTTCTCAGTGCCCCACCACTTTGCTGAGGGACTCCCCCTCCCCCCTGTGGGTCTGCTCGTTGGTTTGCTCGGTTCATCCTGGCTCCCGGCCTTTCCAGCTGCCCCTGGTGCTCAGGCTGGCACCCTGGTCCCTTGGGCCTGGCCAGTCTGTCCTCTGGGCAGACGATGAGGTGGATGGCAGTGTGGGCTGCTGACGTCTCTGGAGGCCCTGCGGCCCCGAGGCAGGCAGGGCAGGGGGGCTGCTGGCCTGTGACTCCAGCGCGGCTGGCAGTGTAGGGTGGCCGTGTAGGGTGGTGTCCGGTGCCTCCCTGCTGAGAATCAGGCCTCGAGTGGGCAGGGCCAGCAGGGCCCCCTCCCCTGGCCTGTTGACAGGACCCCAGGTGGAGCCGTTGTCCAGCGCCCTGCCCACAGGTGCTCCCCGGCGGCGCCCAAGGCCCTGCTATGCCCACAGAGGCAACGTGGGCTCTGCACCCAGGGGCCGGGCCAGGAGGGCGTGGGGTGGTGCCTGGATGTCCTGCAGCCTGTGCCTGGGAAGCGTGAGGCTCCCACCGACACTGGGAGACAGACGCTGGGAGCGCAGCCTGCGGGGAGAGTGTGCACGGCCACCCTCCTCGGAGCAGCCATGGCGGTGCAAGGGCTTGGGGCGACCCTGGGTCTGGCCAGCCTGCTGGCTTAGGAAAACCGTGACCTCGGACGCTTGAAAGGTGGGTGGGTTTCAGGTCTGCTTCCCTGGACCTTTGTCCTTGTGGGCCGCCCTCCTCGGCAGATGCCGCAGCTCGATTTGCTATCCTCCCCTACCTGCTCGGGTCACGCTCCCCCCTCTGTCACCGCGCTTCCACATCTCTCCCCGCCCCGCCGGTCAGTGAAGTGGCCTCGGCCGGGAGCGCGTGGGAACAACAGACACTGCTGTGGGGCCGCTGCTCCGACTCAGGGCCGTACAGGTGATGGAGGGGCCCTGGGCCCGGATGGCCAATGGGACCTGGTGCACCGGGGGTAGGCAGCAGTCAGCGGTTGAGGCAGAGGAGGAGGCGGTTGAGGCGCGGCTGCTGGAAGGCGGGAGGGACCCCAGGACGCAGGGAAGGTGGCCTCCGGGGCGCGGCCTGGGTGGGGGTGGGGGGCGCGGCCCCTGCTGCGGCCCCTCCTGCGGGAAGACAGCGCAGCCACGGGAGCTCCTCGAGGAGGAAGGGGGTGCAGCGACCTGCCCTTCACCTCCCCCCCCCCCGCCCCCCAGCGCGTGCGAGGGAGTCGGTGGGCAGGAGCAGGCGGCCGCCCGCCCGGCGTGTGGGCCAGGCCCCGGGGGAGGGCCCGGCAGGCTCGGGGGAGACTGCGCTTGAGGGCGAGGCTGGAAGGCCGAGGAGGACCAGGTGACAGTCTGAAAGCAGCGAAGGAGTTCAGGATGCTGGCGGTGACAAGGGCTCCCTCGAAAGTGCCGGCTTCGGGAAACAGTGACCTCGTTCGCTTGAAAGGTGGAGGTGACGCGTGGGCGCCAGTGGGGGCCCGCGGGGAGAGGCGCCCGCCGACCTCCGACCCGGGGCACGGATTGGCCCCCCGGCAGGACCAAGGGAGCTGGCGGGGACGGCCCGGCTACGACGATGCCCTCTGCAGAATGGGGGCTCCCGTCCCTTCCGGGGAGAACGTCTGGGGGCGAGAGACAAGCCTGGGAAGCGCCAGCAGAGAGGACGCGGGAGGCCCTGGTCACCGCGCTGTAGGGGATGCGGGAGCGAGGGTGCGCGGGAGGCGGCGGGGCCCCGACCCCACGGGTCCTCCTGCGAGCAGAGCTGCGGGGGAGAAGCCGCGGGTGCGCCGGGTCACCCAGGGCCCGCTCTGGGCGCCGCAGAGCCCCTCGCGCCTGGTGTTGAGCGTGTGCGGGCAGAGGCCCCGCTCCGGTTCTGGACTCAGCGGAGGGGGTGCAGCCCGGACACGGGGGGCGGGGAGCCTGGGGGGGCGGTGTCCGGGGCGTTTGGCCCGCCGGTTGATCGACTGAGCGTCCTGCTGCGGCACATTCCCGGAACCCCGAGAAATCCTGGGGCGTCTACACTGGCGTCTGCAGCGGAACCTCCGCACTCACCCTCCTGACCTTGGTGGCGACCCGCTGCACCCCCGCCCCCGTCCTCCCCCGCTGGGCTCCCCCCTTCTTGCCTTCACACAGGACTTGCCGTTGGGAGGGCCGCCGCGTCCTTCCCCTTGCGGCTGGTGCTCGCGCTGGGCAGCGCCCCAGGGGTGCAGTGCGGCCTGCGGAGGGGGCGGCTCGAGAGGGGCCCTGGGAATGGGGGGCCCCACGGGACACGGGGGGGGCAGCTGCGGGGGCGGAGCAGGGGCTGGGGCCTGCGCCTCCCCCTGACCCTCTACGTGGCGGCGGCTCCGCCTGCTGGGCTCGGGCGGGAATTCCGTGGGGGGGCCAAGGTGGAGGGTGTTGGGCCGGGGGTTCGAGCCCTTCCCTGTGGGGTCGCCTGTGTGGGATGTAGGTGAGCTCCGGCCCCGCAGGGTCGCTCGGAGGAGGTGCGTCCTCGCCCCGGGGGCCTAGGGGCCTGGGGCGAGCCTCTGCTGTCCCTCCTTCTGTCCGCGGAGCTCAGCCGGGACCCCTGGGGCGCGCGGCGTGGCCCGGCCCTGACCGGCCTCTCCTCTCTCCCCGCAGGCGGCAGGCAGAAGGGCCCGACGCCCGGCAGCAGCCTCATGCGCTCCGAGTCCGAGCTGGACAGCGACGACGCCATCTTCACGTGGCCCGACCGCGACAAGGGCCCGCGGCCGCAGGGGCAGAACGGCTCGGTGCCCAACGGGCAGGCCCCGCTCAAGGCCCGGGGCCCCCGCCAGGAGATCCTGTAGCGCGGCTGCCCGAGCGCCATCCAAGCTGTGAACGAGCGGGCGGCTTCCTCTCCGCCCGAACCTGCTGGGAGCGCCCCGCCCACGCCCCCCCCACGCCCCCGCCAGCCCCTCCCAGCCCCTCCGGGGACGGGACCAGGGACGGGGACCCGGGGACCCGGGGTCGCACCCTCTCCCGCCCGCGGGCACCGCGCAGCCGCCCCGCCGGGTCCCCCGCGTGTCGGACGGCGTCCTCGGGGCTCGGGCTCCCGGGCGGGCGGCGCCCCCAGGACGCGCTTCACACCGCCGCGCTCCCGTCGGGACAGGATTAAACCAGCTATTTAATTGTACGTGTGCGAACCGGCTCCGGCTCCGGCTCCGGCCGCTGCGTAGCCGTGATGTCACGGCCCGGGGGCGGGGCTCGGGGGCCCGTGCGGGCTGCGGGCACAGAGGGTTCGGCCTCCCCCACCTCGCACTCCCTCCCCCCAGGCCCGGCGCGGACTTGCACCTCTGGGCCCCTGTGCTTCCCGTTAGGATCCCCGGGGCGGCAGGGGCGGCCCTGCGCCCACCATCCCTTGGGGTGGGGGGACTGGCGGTTTCTCCGGGTAGAGAAACTGAACTGAGGCCCTGCAGAGCCTGCGTGTGGTCCGGCTCGAAGGCCCCCGGGACCGCACCTGGGAGTCGGGGCACGCGGGGACCCTGACTTCGCGCGGCACCTAGGACTGCCCGGGGCACCCGGGGGCGGGGGCCAGGACGTGATCACCCACGGGCTTCGCGGTCTCTCTCCGCTTGGGGGAACGCAGGCCCCATCCCGGGCCCTCCCGACCGCTGCCTTCACCTCCTCACCTCCGAGGACCCTTTTGCAGCCTCTGCTCCTCCCACCAAGGGGGCAAAACTCACACCGTCCTCCCCGGCGAGGAGCCCCGCGCTAGGCTTCCACGACCGGGGCACCGGGTCCCCTACTCCGAGGCTGGGCGCGCTGGGGGCTGGCAGTCGCCCGGCTTCTCCAGGGACACGGCAGCTGCACGAGGGAAGAGATGGCAGGTCTCGGCAGCGCCGCGCAGGGGACACGGCCCGGAGTCCCCGGAGCGCGACTCGGGAGTAGGACGCGGAAGGACTCGAACTGTGAGCAAACACCGGATGGGGCTGGGGCCGACGGAGGGCGGAGACCAAGGCGAGGGAAGGTCCGTCCAAAGGCCGCAAAAAACGCTGCTGAGCTTTAGAGCTGAAGTGCCACGTTCGCGGAGGGCTTGAGGAAGCCGCTGCGACCTGGAACTGGACTTCCTAACATATACGCCGGAGCTCGGGAGGAGGAAATCCGCATCAGTCGATGAAACAAAACAGGAGCAAAGAGGGGAAAAAACAGCATTAAAACGTGACCCTTTCAGATCGGATATTAAAACCACTGCCACTACTTCCAAACACAAGTTAACAGGTTGGATGTACTCGTTCAACTATTTATAAGTGAGGGACCTAAGAGGTGACATCCCAAGACTGGGGGAAAAGGACAGTAAGGATCCTTAGGGGCTTTGGTTCCTATTAAGACAACGAAGTGGCATAGGCTCTGGGTCCCTTCCCCAAAAATGGACTTAGAATTACAATATAGCTTAGGAACCACCACCAAACCTACAAGAAATCCGTCCCGGACCTGTAAGAACCCCGAGCAGCCTGGAGTCCCCACAGGCAGGGAGACCAGGCAGCAGGGAGAAGCCCACCCTTGTAGTACTTGTGGCTGTCAGTCAAGTGACCAGTGTCCACGGGACACCGTCGGGCAGCCTAGGAGTTCTGCTCTTGGGATTAAAATACCCCCACCCCCTCACCCCCCCGCAGAGCCCTGTGGCTGGCAGAGGACAAAGGTGAAGGTGCTTCCCGAGGGTCTGAAGGTAAATCTCCGAACACGACCCGGCGGAGTGCCCCCCGCTGACCGGGCTGGCCCGTCGCTGTCGGCAGGGCCTCGCCTTCCCCTTCACTCACTGGGAGCGACGGCTTAGGCCCCCGCCCTGGCCTTTCCTCAATAAACGTTACCAAATAGGAGCTAGTGCGCTGAAGGGACAGGGGCTCGTGGGCCACAGTAACCGGATGCTGCCTGAGGAGGCCAGTCCTCGGTCCTGAAGACGCAAACTAAACATGCACACCAGCCAAGAAACTAAAAATAAAATAAATATACAAGGAAATATTAGTAATATGAACCAGGAACAAGGACCATGTTGAAAATAGTACAAAAATCAATGAATGAGACACAGGGACACATATAGGTCAAAACTAATTAGCTGGTAATAGGAAGCAGGAAAAGACAGACACACAGCAGGCAGTCCAGGGACAGAGCAGTAGTGTCCACATCTGAATAACGGCGTCCTAGAAGAGAAGAAAAGTGGAAAAGGAAATACCTGAAGAAATGAGAAACTGGCCAGAATTAAAGATGAAAAAACTCATGGATGAAAAACGTACAGAAAACATACAAACAGAAACACTAGACTGAAAGACATTTAAGACCATCTAAGAAAAGCAAAACTTCTGACAGCTCCTACACAGAGAGAGTAGATCAATTACGGAGAGGGATCAGTCGGGCACCAGGTTTCTTAATAGTATTTAGGTGAGAGACAAAGACGTTCCCAAAATGCTGAAGGAAAAGAACTTTGAACTCAAAATTCCTATCAAGACAAATTCATTTAAGTATGAGGATGCAATAAAAAATACTCTCTGGGGGATCCCCTGGTGGCTCAGCGGTTTAGCACCTGCCCTCCGCCCAGGGCGTGACCCCAAGGTCCCGGGATCTAGTCCCACATCGGGCTCCCTGCATGGGGTCTGCTGCTCCCGCCGCCTGTGTCTCTCTCTCTGTCTCTCATGAATAAATAAATTAAATCTTTAAACAAACAAACAAACAAAAACTCTCGGGGCACCTGGCTGGCTCAGTTGGTGGAGCAGGCAACTCTTGCTCTTGGCGTTATCAGTTCAAGCCCCACACTAGGGGTAGAATTTACTTAAAAAATATTCTTGGGGCGCCTGGGTGGCTTAGTCAAGCGCCTGCCTTTGGCTCAGGTCATGATCCCAGGGTCCTCGGATTGAGCCCCACACCCGGCTCCCTGCTCTGCTGGGAAGCCTGTTTCTCTCTCTTTGCCTGCAGCTCCCCCTGCTTGGGCTCTCTCTGTGTGAAATAAATAAAATCTTTTTTAAAAATTTAAAAAATAATATTTTGGAAGCAAATATGAAAACTGAATTTAGACATGAGATATAGGAAACAAAGGTGAGCAAATACTTTGGCAAAATGTGTAATTCCAAACAGCTAGGGCCAATGGAATACAAAATGAAGTATATCAACAATCCAAAACCAAAATTCCAAAGAATATCAGCATGGTAGAGTCGGGAAGACCAAAGGAACATAAAAGACTCTAACTTGTCTCCTCCCACAGACACAAAACACATCAACATAAGTGACCCAGAAAGTGATCCAAAGCCTAGGAAACAAACTGCACAACTAAAGGCAGGGAAAGGGCCACACGGAGGCGGCGGCAGCTGGTGGGCAACAGTCTCCCGCCAGGGGAGGGTGATCTCCGTAACACTTGCCTGTGAAAGTGACAGGGGCCAAATTTTGTTACGTTCTCACAACCAGAGGATTTAACACCTAGGGGTTTAGCACTCCGGTGGCTCAGCGCTGGGAGAGCCCAGAGGGCCTTAGGAAGCATCTGGGCCCTAGAGAGACCACACAGCCAGTGCAAATACGGCAGCGAAGTGGCAGTTTGAAGAACCCTAAAGGGTGAGGGATTTGCTCATCTTAGAGCACGGCCTGGAAGGACAGGGATGGGAGGAAGATCCTCCAGGAACAAAGGAGCTGGGAGGTACCACTGCCTCCTACCCGCGCCCCCCCCCCCACTTCTGCAGGTCTGCCCTCCCCAGTCACATTTACCTTAGTCCTGGTGCTGCAGGCCCCACCTCAGAAGACCAGTGCAATCCTGGCCAACACATCTCTTGACTCTTTCCAGGATCCCTGGAGGCAGCAGGGGGGTGGGGAGGGGGTGTCAGGTCTCCCTTTCCAAGCAGACCACCACATACATTGTTAAAATGTGCCCCACCCTGCTGGGCATCAAACGCTGCCCACAATGGTCAGAGAGAACCTCTGCACACAGCTGGACTGAAGGAAAAAGAGGCCAAGACTCCACAGCAGAGCACACACAACACACATAGGAGATCCTCCCTGAAGTGCCAGCCCCTGGGGGACAGAGGACACGGCACTGCAGGGCACTACAGGACCTCCTCTTCATAAGGCTATTATTGGTAAAAGTAAGAGAAGTGGCTCACTTCCCTAACACACAGAAACAGACAAAGTTAGACAATATGAGAAGACAGAAAAAGATGTCCCAAATGAAAGAACAGGACTGAACCACAGCAAGAGACCAAAGCCAAACAGATATAAGTAATATGCCTGGTAGAGAATTTACAGTGATGATCATTAAGCTACCCACTGAACATAAGAGTGGATGACAGTAATGAGAACCAACCTGACACCAAGAACATATTAAATGAAATAAGAAATACACTAGATGGAATACATATCAGGCTAGACTGGAGCAAGGGAACAAGTTATAACCTGGAAGACCGAGTAATGTGAAAATAACCAAGGTGAGCAAAGGAAAAAAAAATATGCACTTGAGAGTAGTCTAAAGGAACTCAGTGATATCAAGTGTAATGATATCTGCATTGTAAGAATCTCAGAAGACAACAGAGAAAAGGGGGTAGGAAATTTATTTGAAGAAACAATGGCTAGACACTTCCCTAATCTGCAGAAGGAAATAGATATCTAAATCCAGGAGACACAGCGATCCCCCCAAAACTTAAACCCAAGGAGGTCTACACAAGAAACATAATAATTAAAATGGGAGGAAATAGTGCTAAAGAAAAAAAATTTAAACCAGCAAGAGAAAAGATAGTTACATACAAGGGAAACTTCAAAAGGCTATCAGATTTTTCAGCAGAAACTTTGTGGGCCACAAGGGAGTGGTATGATATATTCAAAGTGCTGAAAGTTGGGAAAAATCTGCAGCCAACAATAACTCTTATCCAGTAGGGTTATCATTCAAAATGGAGAGAGTTTCTCTGACAAACACTAAAGGAGTTCATGAACACTAAATGAGCCCTTCGAGAAACATTAAAGGGGACTGGGTGGAAAGACCCTAAGTGAGAGTATAAAAAGCAAAAAACAAACAAAAACCCACAAAAAGCAGTAAAAATAAGTATTTCTGTAAAAATACTTTTATCAAGGGATTCATAAAATAAAAGGATTTAAATGACAACACATACCTAAAACAGGGAAGAGTGGAGTAAAGAATAGGTTCAAATCTAAGCAACCATCAACTTAACATAGACGCTGTATGTAGATGTTACATACAAACCTAATGGTAACCAGAAGTGAAAAACCAGTAATAGATATGCAAAGAATCAAGGGAAAGAAATCAAGTATATCACTAAAGAAAGCCAACAAATCATGACAAGAGAAGAAAGGATCAGAGAAAACCTGCAGAAACAACTACAAAACACGTAACAAGATGGTGATAAATAGTACCTATCAATAATTACTGTGACTAAATGGACTAAATGCTTCAATCAAAAGACAGTAACAAGAGTGGATCAAAAAAACAAGACCCCCCCCCCAAAAAAAAAGACCCAAATATATGCTGCCTACAAGAGACTCATTTCAGACCTAAAGACATCTACAGGTTGAAAATGAGATAGGAGAAACATTTATTATGTAAATGGACATCAAAAGAAAGCTGGAACAGCAATACTTGTATTAGACAAAACAGACTTTAAAACAAAGGTGGTAACAAGAGACTCCGGACACTATATAATAATAAAGGGGACAACCTAACAAGAGGATATAATAATTGTAAATATTAATACACCCAACATAGGAGCACCCAAATACATAAAACAAACATAAAGGAAATAATTGATAATAATACAATAATAGTAGGGGATTTTAACACCTCTCTTAAGTCAATGGGACATGTCATCCAAATAGAAAAGCAACAAGGAAATAGTGGCTCTGAATGACATACTGGACCAGATGGACTTACAGAACCATTCAGAACATTCCACCCTAAAAGAGCAGAATACATATTTTTCTGTTGTGTACACAGAATATTCTCTAGAATAAATCATGCATTAGGCCACAACACAAGTCTCAACGAATTAAAAAAAATCAAAGTCATACTGTGAACCTTTTCTGAACACAATGCTATTAAACTGGAATCAACTATAAGAAAAAAAAAATCCAGAAATACCACAAATACACAGAGGTTAAATAACATGTGACTAAAGAGTGAAAAGGTCAACCAAAAAGACAAAGAAAAAAAAATTACATGGAAACAAATGAAAATGAAAACAAGATGGTCCAAAATCTCTGGGATTCAGCAAAAGTGGTTCTAAGAGGGAAACTTAAAGTTACAGGCCTACTTCAAGAAGCAAAAGAATCTCAAATGAACAACCTAACCTTACACCCAAAGGAGTCAGATAAAGAACAAAATCCAAACACAGCAAAAGGAAGGAAATAAGATCAGAACAGAAATAAATAATATAGAAACTAAAAAACCCCAACAGAACAGATCAATGAAACCAAGAGATGGTTCCTTATAAAGATCAACAAAATTGATAAACCTCTAGCCAGACTCAAAACAGGGAGGGTGAGGGCCATATAAAATAATTAATGAAAGAGGAGAAATAACCACTAATACCACAGAAATACACACTGTAACAGAGTATTATGAAAACTATATGCCAACAAATAGGACAACTCTTACAAGACATGGGTAAATTCCTGGAAACATATAACCTACCAAATTAAACCAGGAGAAACAAAATTTGGATAGACCACCAATTACCAGCAATGAAATTCAATTAATAATCAAAAAACAAAGGTCCAAGATGAGATGGCTTCACAGGCTAACTCTACCAAACATTTAAAGAAGAGTTAATACCTATTCTTCTCAAAGTATCCCCCCCCCAAAAAAAAAAGAAGAGGAAGGAAAACTGCCAAATTCATTTGATGAGGCCAGTATCACCCTGATACTAAAACCAGATGAGGACACTACAAAAAAAGAGAACTACAGCCAGTATCTCTCATGAATATAGATATAAAAATCTGCAACAAAATATTAGCAATCTGAATCCAACAAGAAGTATAAAAAAACATACACCATGATCAAGTGGGATTTATTCCTGGGATGCAAGAGTTGTTCAGTATTTACAAAGCAATCAACATGACTGTCTTCAATAAGAGAAATGATAAAAACTACATGGTGGTTTCAATAGATAAAGAACAAGCATTCAACAAAGTACAACATCCATTCAGGATTAAAAAAAACCCTCTGCGGGGCAGCCCTGGTGGCTCAGTGGTTTAGCGCCACCTTTAGCCCAGGGCCTGATCCTGGAGACCCGGGATAGAGTCCCACATCAGGCTCTCTGCATGGAGCCTGCTTCTCCCTCTGCCTCTCTCTCTGTCTCTCATGAATAAATAAATAAAATCTTTAAAAAAAAAATCCCTAATAAAAAAAAAAACCCTCTGCAAAGTAGATCTAGAGGGAACAAACCTCAATATAATAAGTCTTTATATGAAAAACCCACAGCTAACATTATACTTGATGGTGAAAAACTGAGAGCTTTTCTCCTAAGGTCAAGAACTCTAAGATAAGGATATCCACTCTCACTGCTTTTCTTCAACATAGTACTGGGAGTCCCAGCACAGCCATTAGACAACATAAAAAAATAAAAGGCATCCAGATTGGTAAGGAAGAACTAAAACTCTATTTGCAGATGACTATACAGAAAACCCTAAAGACTCTACCAAAAAAACTCTAGAACTGACAAAGGAATCCAGTAAGATTACGGGATACAAAATCCATGTATAGAAATCCCGTTGCTTATCTATACACTAAAAATGAAGCAGCAAAAAGTGAAATTAAGAAAACTATCTCATCTTCAATTGCACCAAAACCAATATAATATCTAGGAATAAGCTTAACCAGAGAGGTGAAAGACCTGTACTCTGAAAACTTTCAGACACTGATAAAGAAATTCAAGATGATGCAAAGAAAAGGAAAGACATTTCATGCTCATGGATTGAAAGAATACGTAATGTTAAAATTGCTACATTACTCAAAGCAATCTACAGATTTAATGTGATCCGTATCAAAATACTGATGGCATTTGTTCACAGAGTTAAAACAAACAATCCTAAAATTTGTATGGAGCCACAAAACCTCAAACAGCCAAAGCAATGCTGAAAAAGAAAAACAAAACTGGAGGTATCACAATTCCAGATTTCAAGTTATATTACAAAGTGGTGGTAATTAAAGCAATGGCAGTGGCATAAAAACAAACATAGGTCGATGGAACGGAATATAAAAACCAGAAATAAACCTGCAATTGTATAGTTAATTTATCTTCAACAAAGGAGGAATGAATACAGAGTGGGAAAAAGATAATCTCTTCAACAAATGGTGTTGGGAAAACTGGACAGCAAGCAATATGCAAAAGAATGAAACTGGACCACTGTTTTTCTTCATATACAAAAATGCTCAAAATGGATTAAAGACCTAAATGTGAGATCTGAAACCCTAAAAATCCTTGAACACAGTACAGGCAGTAATTTCTCTGACACTGGCTGTAGCAACATTTTCCTAGCTGTCTCCTAAGGCAAGTGAAATAAAAACAAAAATAAACTACTGGGATGACATAAAAAGTTTCTGCACAGCAAAGAAAACAACAAAATTAAGAGGCAACCAGCTAAGTGGAAGAAGGTATTTGTAAATGACACATGCAATAAAGGGTTAGTATCCAAAATATATAAATAACTGACACAACTCAACACCCCAAGAACAAATAGTCCAGTTAAAAAATGGGCAGAAGACACAAACAGACATTTCTCCAAAGACATCCAGGTGGCCAACAGACACATGAAAATATGTTCATCATCAGGGAAATGCAAATCAAGACTATAATGAGACATCCCCTTACATCTGTCAGGATGGCTAAAATCAAAAACATAAAAAACAAGAGTTGGTGAGGATGTGGAGAAAGGGGAGCCCTCGTGCACTGTTGGTGGGGACACAAACTGATACAGCCACTGTGGGAAACAGTATGGAGGTTCCTCAAAAAGTTAAACATACAACTATCCTACAATTCAGTAATAGCACTACTGGGTATTTACCCAAAAAATAAAAAAATAAAAAAACCCACTAATTCCAAGGGATTACATGAACCCCTGTGTTTATTGCAGCATTATTCAAAGTAGCCAAACTATAGAAGTAGCCTAAGTGTCCACAGATAGATGGAGTGTTTATTACTCAGCCATAAAAACAAATGAAATCTTGCCATTTGGAACAACATGGGTAGAGCTAGAGAGAGTATAATGCTAAGCAAAATAAGAGAAAGACAAATACCATATAATGTCACTTATATGTAGAATTTAAGAAACAAACAACAGGGGAGAATAAAAGACAAACCAAGCAACAGACTCTTAACTATAGAGAACAAATTGATGGGTTACCAGAGGGGAGCTGGGTGGGGAGAGAAGATGGGGGAAATAAGCGATAGGGATTGAAGTACTCTTCACTTATTACAATGAAAAGAACAATAAATGGCAGAAATAAGTTCTCATAGCAATAGTTAAAATGAGTATAAACATCTTAAACTTAACAGACTCCAACCCCTTCTTTTTCATCATCACCTACTCCCCCTGCATTAGCGTCTGAAGAAGCAAATGGTAGGGAGTAATTGGTGAGCCTGGAGCCCAGAAGTCTGCTGGTGAGGGTTGGCCCAGAGAAGAGGCCCAGCAGCAGAGCAACTGAGGTGGCGGGTGGCTAGCATGGTAAGGAGATGGATTCACGTTTGCAAGGAAGGGATTCAGGAAGTAAGCACATACTGAGAATAATGGGAACCAGATCTCTCAGTTTTGTAAAAGGATTTATGAATGTGTAAAGGGAGAAGCCTAGAAAGAACCTCGAGAGGTTGACCTGACGGGAAGAGACGGTAAGAAGTCACAGGCTACAAAACAGGTAGAGGATAGGTATAGCTACGTGGTATGTGTCTATACTCGGTTATGGACTGATTGGTTCTACACATCAATAGGACACAGAAACAACTTTACCTCAGTAGACGAGCACCAAGTGCTAAGGCATTAGGATTCCACGACGGATTCCAAGATTAGGGCAGGGAAAGTACAGAATAATCTTGGAACATCTTGTTTTAAGTAAATGCTGAAAAAATGATGGGGATATATCAGAAGGACATAGGAGTTGACCAGGCTTCCATTGGTTAAATCTAGGACAATGTGCATATTAAAACAAATAATAAGAGCATCAGATTACAACCCAACAAATAAAATAGGAATCCAGGAGTCTATACCGATATAAACAAATGAGTAAGAAACTTAAAAAGATTCTAAGAATTCTTTATACCATGTAACAATATAAGGGCAAAAATGACAAGAAAACATTATCAGGCAAATGTTAACACTGAGAAAGGTAGGGGATCAATATTTATAGTGTCTAAGACAGAATTCAATGCAAAAAAAAAAAAGTGAGGGATTATATGCTGCTAAGAGCAATTCACCAAGAAAATGGCTATTAGTATACCTCAAAAAACAGCCTGAAAACTGACAAAATTTCAGGCAAAGAAAGGTTAGGTGGATAACACTTGGGTTAAAAAAGGAAATGAGGAAACACCTACAAACAGACTGATGATAAAATCAGGTCTGAATCTGAGGCACCATTAAAGAGCTTAAGGGAAAAATAGATTTGAAATCATTTTTCATTTTCAAGAAATCATTTTCAGCTATAAGAATGGTTAAGAATGAATGACACAATCATTAAACAATTTTAAAAATGAACAAAAAAACCCACCAAAAATAAGAAAAATAGTAATAAAGCCAGAAATAAGTAGAAAAGGCAAGACTTACAAAACCAAATGATGGTTCTCTGAAAGATTCTTAGATAAGTTGGAGCAGAAAAAAGAGAAAACACAAACAGAACTCCAAATACAGAATGGAAGAAGGAAAAAATCATAAACCATGTTAATAAAGATGGACATATTGATCAAACTATGTGAAACTTATAAAGAAATATAAAATTGAGGAGAAAAGTTACAGAGAAGTATAAAAATCAAATTGACATCAAAAACTTGAAAAGGCCAGTGAACATTCAGTAAACTAAAATGGCAAAGACCTCTTCTTTATAGAGGGATAAAAACAACTAAAAGAATTCTAAGTTTTACAGTTTGACTATACATTCAAAAACAAGTTTTCTCTAAGTTCCACAGAATGGAAGAGGAATAAAACCTGCCCAACTCTTTTTAAGTCTAGTGATTCCAAAATCAGATGAGAATTCAAGAAAAAAATTTAAATGTTTCACTTGTGATTACAGATACAAAAGAAAAAAAAACAAAATACAAGCTAGACAAGCCTAACAGTATATACATATTTTTAAAATTAAAAAGGGCTTAAAAAAATTAAAAAGGCCTTGTCCAAGGAAAGCAAAAACTGTTCAACATAAGAAAATTCTGTCAATGTGTTTTGTAACATTAATAAAGGCAAAAAAAAAAAAGAGGACTATTAAAATAAATGCAAAAAATTTTTGTTAAGTTCAACACTTTTTATAATTGAAAGAAAAACTCATGGCAGAGATTCCTGAGTGGCTCAGTGGTTGAGCACTGCCTTTGGCCCAGGGCATGATCCTGGAGACCCAGGATCGAGTCCCATGTCAGGCTCCCTGCATGGAGCCCACTTCTCCCTCTGCCTGTGTCTCTGCCTTTCTTTTTCTGTCTCTCATGAATAAATAAAATCTTGAAAAGAAAAGAAAAGAAAAGAAAAGAAAAGAAAAGAAAAGAAAAGAAAAGAAAAGAAAAGAAAAGAAAAGACTCATGGCAAACTGGAATAGAAGGGGATGTCCTTGGTAAAAATTATACCTAAGCTAATAGTATATATAAAAAATACATGTAAAATTAGTTTCATCAAAGAATGCAAGGATGGTTTGATATCAGAAAAATCTATTGATTTTCACTAAACGAATAAGTGAATGAATAATACAAATTATTGATTAGCTACACAAAATGCATTTGGTAACAATCATTTATTTAATCGGGGGGAAGACTTTTTCCTAGCAAAAGCTATCAACTTTTTTTTTTCTTTTTCTTCTTTTTTTTTTTAAATTTATTTATGATAGTCACACACAGAGAGAGAGAGAGAGAGGCAGAAACACAGGCAGAGGGAGAAGCAGGCTCCATGCACCAGGAGCCCAACGTGGGATTCGATCCCGGGTCTCCAGGATCGCACCCTGGGCCAAAGGCAGGCGCCAAACCGCTCCCTCTTTTTCTTTTATTAATTTTTTAATCAAAACTTTCATATCTTGATGTTTAAGATTGCCTTCCAGACTGGATATACAGTTGACCCTCAAAAAAAACATGGCCTTGAACTGCATAGGCACCCATATACATGAATTTGTTTTGTAGGAGAGAACTGTAAATGTGTTTTCTCTTCTTCATGATTTTCGTTAATAAGATTTTCTTTCTCCTACGTTACTTTATTGTAACACAGCATGTAATACATATAACATACAAAATCTGTGTTAACTGTTTATGTTATCAATAAGGCTTCCAGTCAACAGAGGCTATTAGTGGTTTAAGTTTCTGGAGAGTTAAAACTTCTACTGTGATTTTCAACTATGCAGGGATTATCACCTCGACTCCCATGTTGTTCAAGAGTCAACTGTATAGTTCGTTGATTCTTACAGTAATGGTTTTTATATTCCAACAGCAGTATGCTTGGCATTATCCATTTTTCTAATCTGGCCAATCCTAAGGTCATGAATTGATAGGTTTGAAGAGAAATACCATGATTACTAAAGGAGTCTGAAAATCTCTCTTCATACACCTATTCCCTGTTTGGGTTTCTCTTATGAAGTATTCATTATTCTTTGTTCAGTTTTCTTTATAATTCAGCAGTTTGGGGTGTATATTCTAAATATATATCATTTGGTAATTTTACGCATTGCAAATACAGGTATTCCCACTTTTTTAAAGTGTCAGGCCATTTTACTTTTACAAAAAACTTACATTAGAACCCATTTTTGCTAACCAACAGGTATCAGAAGAGGATTTTTACTTTCACCAAAAGGCAGGACACAACAATAGTGTTCTGAGTTTCACAGCTAGCCCATGCAGAGGCAGTGCGCAGCCCGAGGTGCGAGAGCTACGCATACCACCAAACTCCTTTCCTGGGAACTACTCTCAGCATCAAACACCTTAGTCTCCAAAACTTTGCATGATGTCTGTCAGTGCCTGTGCTTTATCTTGGTTTATTTTTCTACATATGTTACCAAGATGTGCCCTGAAGTGTCAGAAAAGCCTCAAAGAGGTCAATTTGGGGTCTGGGAATGCTTTAAAAAAAAAAAAATCCATATAAATTAATGGTAATGTCTTCTCCATTCTACACCGTTTAGGTTTACTAAAGTTTCACAGCAACGCTGTACCTTCAGAGAGCGGGGAAACCTGTATCCTCTCTGAGCCTGTCATTTGTCATCTTTTATCAAAAAACATCTTTAATTTCCATAGAAAATAAATATATAAATTTTCTCCATATCGTTTGTGCTTTGGAAATTTTAAGAAGCTCCTTCTCTCCCCCAGATCACAATATTTTCCATATTTCTATTAATTTTATCATTTTACCTTTCACATTTAAGACCTTTAATCCACTGAGAGCCCACCTTTGGACATGATGCTAGTTAGGTATCCTGTTTTTCTCCATGTAAAAAGCCAGTTTTCCAACACCGCCTACTAAAACAAACACAGGATTTTTGTATATTACTTAATTACTAAATACTTTATAGCTTTCACTGTCACTCTGAATAGTATCTTTTCCTTTTAATTACATTATCTAATTGGCTGCTGCTCTAGTAGAAAAGTGCTTGAAATTTTTATCAACTATTTTGTAGTTACCATCCTTAAGCTTATTTTGAAGTTTCTTTAAATACATAGGTATACCTGAACATCTGAAAATATGACTTAATTTAAAAATAATGAGTTTTAGAGGCGCCGTGGCTGGCGCCGTGGCTGGCTCCGTGGGTGGAACATCCAACTCCTGTTCTCAGGGTCATGAGTTTGAGCCTCCCACTGGGTGTTATCAGTAACTTAAGAAAAAAAAATAAAGTAAAAATAGTGAGTTTATTTCTCTTCCCAATACCAATAGTCTCTTTCTTCTTTTTCTTTTCTTATGGTCCGGATCAGAACTTATCGTTCTATGTTAAACAGCAGCCTGATACTGAGCGTAGTAAATCTGTTAGTCAGGAAACTGGTTTGGCTACTTTAGTATGGCTGAAATAAGATGGCAGGTTTCTTTCTTTCTTATGTGAAGGTCTGAGCTGGCAGGCAGTTCAGCACAGAAGTGGCCCTGCCTTATGAGGTTGATGTGCTTTCGATATGCTGCCCTTTCCCACATAGACAGAACTGGTTTGCCATGAGCACAGTGACACTCTGGCCCATGGAAAAGAGGAAATTACAAGAGGAAGGCAAGCCCTTTCCTTTTTAGGATGTGGCCTGCCAGTGATAAACTACGGTTTCCATCCCATTGGTCAAGTCAGTCCCATGTTCACACTTAGTTGCAAGGTAGCCTGGAAAAGATAATCTCTTACCAAAGAAACTACTGCCTAGCTAAAACATGGGGGAGCAAGGGGTGGTGTGAATGAAGGAAGAAGTGCGGAGATGTATATTGCTGTACAGTTGTCTTGCTCCCAAGTCATCGTATTATAACCAAGTAAATGAAATTTCATTAAGAGTTTCTCCAATTAAAAAAAAAAAGATATACCATGCATTCCTCCTTTTTTCGATGTAGTAAGTTATTAGTGGACTTTTGTGATGTCGATTACTATTCATATGCATATAAGCACATGAGTGAAGAACTTATGATTACATATGGTATTTACTCATTCTAAATATTTGATTCAAATAGTATAAAGGTATTGTGTTTTGCGGAATGAGAAGCCATGAACTTAGTGAAAATTCAGGGCACAGGAAGAGGATTAACACTGATATAAAATCTTGCTATATGCCCAGCAATTTGCATGTTATAATAAAAAAAAAATCCATGACACCTGAAAGCCTACATATTCCAAACTTATGGAAGAGTTATTCTTATTCCTACTTTATAAGAAAACCCAGGCACACAGAAATTAAGTAATTTACCTAAAGCTATACAACCAGTAAGTGGTAAGACTAGGCTCCAAAGCCTCAGATCTTCCTACTCTGTTAACAATTCCTCTCAATGATTATTCTTTCAACAATACACAAGAGGAAATTAGTGCTTAATTCTTTCCTAAAATTTCAACTCCATACCATACAGAAATTTTTAATTTGCATGGAAAATAAACTTCTGAATTTGACAGAAAACTGGGATTCACACGCAGAAATTCGTTTTACTTTGCAATTCTTGGAAAACTCCTGTTTTACGAAATTCGGAATGCCAATAGGCAGACTAGAAACAGTTGATATGGAATCTGAAACTGTTTGCACAAAACCAAGTTAGAGCTAGAGTCGAAGAAAGATGCCAATTAGTCTCACACTTCCAAATTAAGTACGTATTTTCCTTAAGAATGGATCTATATTCTTTAACCCAGTCTCACAATTTCAAAATCATTCAAGGTGAACTGATGCCAGCTTTGTAAATCTTTAAAAAGTTCACCTCAAATGAAACAAATATGTGATACTTGGTATTTCTAGCTTTCAGAGCTTTGAATATAGTTAGCTTTAAAAAAATGGGAACAAGTCTTTTGATGGAAAAAAGAAAACAAGTGAAAACTTTGCAGTGAAACAATATGTTTACTGGACTAAGTAAAAACCAAATAATTTATTTCCTGAAAACTGCTCTCTCTTTGAAATATACCATCTGGTGGCTCATACCCATAGGTTAAACAGAAAAAAAATATCTAAAATTCGTTGAAGACAAAGAAAAGGAATAACTCACCCATCAAATACAAATATACTATTTTATTCTAAGGGAATATTTCTGTGGTTTCTGCAAGGGGAAAACCCAAAAGTGGTTAAAAAACAAAAAAGAACAGAAAGGATAATTTAGATGTTTCTCGTTTGTTTGATGTTTTTTTCTCCCCTGGAAATAAAAATGCAATTTTACATAATTTTAATAAAATTTTAAAAAGCAAATAGTCTGACACACATATCAACAGCTATGCTTATGAAGAATGACCAATAATTAAGATTTTCTTTTACGAATTAATTTAGGGTCTGGACAACTCTGTGGACTAACATGCAATTGAAGTCCTGATAAAGTTATTGACCTGGGTATTGGCTGTTCTCAATTAAAAGATACAGATTTCTTTTTTTCTCTCTGGTGTTTTCTAACAAGGTATCTACTATACCAACAATATTTGTTCTTGATACAACTACAGAAGGGGAAATGTTAGTTTATACAAACCATAAAATTTGTATAGTGGGGGCTATTACAACTGATGTTTCTGGATAGTTTATTGGCAGACTTATCAGACAATCCAGTTGTTTTTCCTCCATATCAAACAAGATCTGGATGCAAGAAGTTTTCCAGTCAGAAATGACAAACACAGATGGAATTAATCATACATAACTGGGGCAGATTTACTTCTTTCACACAGTTCCTGGTAACCAAAATGAAATTTGTTACAGGCAGAGGGACCGAACCATCAAGTACACAATGTCAAAAGGCCTACTTTTTAAATTTTTATTGTACTTAAATGACTTTCATTTATTTAAAAAAAAACGAAAACACCTGCCACCCCCATCTAAAAAATGGGACATATTGGAAAGTCTTTCAGGGTTAAAATTTCTAAGAGGCTTTTTGGACTTCTCTCATTTCTATTATAGGATCAAATTTACCTTAGCTAAAGAAGTTCTGTGATTGGCCAACATCATAAAAGCTTTGAGTCAAAGTTTTCTGGGGGAAGAAACTGAGAATGAAGATAAGGGAGACGGACTGATATCCCAAACACACATATGACTTGCAATCCTCAAAGAACTACTAAAACAGCTAGAGATTGGAATAATGCTATAAGACCTGTTGTGGATATGCAAGACAGTCAATGTCTTTATATCCTAACCCCAGAATCCATATTTTCAAGTTTCTTAGGGCAACAAGGTCATCTTCCAAATTGCTAGGACCTTTTCTACCATAATTCTGATAGCTAAGTAATACTGTGTCTTTGTGGAATTACCCACAGGTTTTGCCAGAGTAAGGAGAAAGACTTTTCTTTTTGAAATGACAAGGGCCTCCAGAAACTGGTGCAAAAGACAAAATAAGGATTTGGGAAACAGGAAGAAAAAACAATGGGAGAAAAGCTGCCATTTGGGGATGAAATGAAAACAAAAGGAGAACCCCCATTTCTGTGTACCACAGCTCATGCTATGAGACAGCAGCAATAAAGGCTGACACCCAGAGAAGTGGGCATTTTAGTGGGTTTTCTACAAACATTTCAAGACACTTGGGGTCTAACGGGCTCCACAGATTTTCTGTGTGCATAATCAGCTCGTGGAGTTTCAGCCCCTTTACACCTCAATTTACCCACATCTAGACCCACAGCGGAGAAGGCTAGACCCAGAAAGTGAGAGGGACACATTACTGTGTGAACAGCAGTGAAGGCCTTTTTCCCTGATGTGAGGGGCCCATGGCAAAAGCACCAGAGGCTTCTATCCTTCACAGAATTGGCTTGGCAGTGAATATCAAATCAAGACCACTTCACTCTCTACCTTTTAAGAAAAAGTTGAGTAATTTTATTGGGTCTTCAAGTCTGGGTCCCACAGTCCTCACCTGATGTCACTCTTAGCTCTGCACTGATTTCTCCTCTGACGTGCACATAGGGCTTGCCCAAGTAGCCTACTGCAGCCGAGGTTTTATTCCAAAGCTACCTCTCTAAGGTCTAAGGTTTCTATGGTAGAGTTTTATACAACAGTTTTCCTTAAAAATATTCCACAATTTGTTATTCCCAAACAAAATAAGATTATGCACCACTCAGAGAAATTGGTTAGTCATTCTGAAGATGTCTAAGAACTATATCACTGCCAAAGAACAACATTTCTCAGTTCATATTCTTTCCTTCAGTTTTCATTTGTACATCCACACTGTGGTTCACGAGTCATCTGTTTTCCATTATCTTATAATCAAGTCAAGAGGACTTGTACTTGTACATCGTTTTCCAAAGCTGGATGCATTCACAGTTTGGTGCATACCCATGTGTATGAAAATAGGAACCCCACTTCCACTTTAATCTGATAATTCAACATCAGAGTCTTCTGATTTGGCTTTGGCAAGTTCTTCGTGTACCTCCCTCACCATGAGAATACGTGTTAACATGGTGTCCAGGGTCCCAGGGTCTATCGGGAATGTGGAGTACCACATGGGGCTATTCGGAACACAGGAGCGCTCGGGTTGCAGGTAAAACACATCATTCCTCTGCTTCACACTTTCAGAACTATCCATAGGGGAAAAAAAAAGAAAGAAAGAAACTAAGGAAATTGGGGATCAGAAAGTATAGGAAATATATAACTACTCTTTAATATAGTGGCTCTCACCTTGTTCCCCGCTGTAACTAATGTCATAGATAAGCAATGCACCCAGGGAGATAAATAAGTTTATGGGCTTTTCGCCCCAGGTGCAACCTGTAACTGCACATTTTTTCCTCCTACACTCACCAGACATGAGTATAATGTTAATAGAAGACAAAGTATAAATCATTCACAAACCTTAGTATTAGGAGCAATAATTTGCCTTACATTTGTAACACTATGGCTAAGAAGAACCACATACCCTCAGTACCCAACATCCCCAAGAGCACTCAATACGTATTACCACGGGGCAAAACAGTGGCTGTATTTCTTTGAAAAAAAAAAAAGTGCTTTAGTGTGGCTCTTATAATTCTAAAGTCTTAAAGTTTCTGTAAGAGAAAGACCACTCAAAAAATACATATTCCTTAAAAATAGTTTTTCTATTTATAGGTTTAGCTGTACAGCCTTTCCTCTATAAACAGCAAAATCCCAACTCTTTAGTTATCACATAAAGGTTGAATAACAGTTGTAAAGATCAAACAGCTCTGGTTCTTGCTTTTAAAGAGATTTTCAGGAGGAAAAGAAAAAAAAAAAAAAAAACTATCCAGATAAAGTGGTTTGCTTCTGGGTCCAAAATCCACACAGATACAAGAATAGGGACAAAAGGAAATTAAAGGTACACCCTTGTTGAAAGTCATATTTCTGATATTCAAGCATTGAAAATCCAAAACATGTTAACTACTGAAGTGTACTGAATCTAGTCCAGAGGAAGACTGCTTACCATTTTGACAAGTAAAACTCATAAAGTCGAACTGGGCATCGTAGTGGGTTGTCAGTATTCTCGGCCATCTCCACACCCACTGGAACCTCATCATCTTCATTTCGTTTCCTCTTCCCAACAGTGAGTTTATCTTGAGACGGGAGATAATAAAAGATTACAAAAATCTTTCCTTCCAGTCTTAAAGACATCCACTGAACTTCGTTTCCAGTCAGACCATCACTCCATTCTCCTCCGGTTCACTCACTCATCCCACAAGCATGGACTGAGCACCTACAGAGGTGCTAGACAGTACGTTAAGTACTGCTTAATAGCACCGAACAGATCGAAGTCCCCTTTCTGTAAAATTTATGTTGCCCTGTTCATCGAAGTGGGTGCAGCACAGCAAAAAGCATGGTACTGGGGAGGGAGCTAGGCCTTAATTCTG